ATGCATATTGAAAAAAGCTTAATTCGAGACAAGGGGGAGATATTATGGTCAGAATTTGTGTATAGCTCAGAAATGTTTCAATATTTTCAATATGATTCGTTCAAAAGTTACTTTCAAGAGAAATTAACGCAATACTCGGAGAAAAAGAAATTTTTTTTTAATATCTTTCTAGGTTATGTTGTGAATTTGAAACAAACTTTGCCACTAAATAAACTTCAAAACCATTTGTTCTTGAGTCTAAACTGGAAAATTTGCTATTTACTGGCACAATAATAATTCAAATGTGATGAAAATTATAAGTATTCAGAGTTAAAAAGTGTTAATTGCGCTAAGATTGACCATAACCTCTAAAATATCGTGTTTTAATATAAAATTGTCTATTTTCCACTAAAAAATTGCAAATTTCAGTTCACTTTCGATCTATAACACAATATTTTCCAGATTTATATTTAGAAGACTCCGAATAAGCTTTTTTCAAGAGATTCTTTTCGATATCTGAAGGCTATTTCTAGGTTATGTTCCGAAGTGCGCTTAAAAGAGCTTTTGAAAATTGAATCTCATTCAAATGTCCACAGAAAACTTCAAATATTTCTAAAATATCGCTTTTCTGTAAATTTTCAAGGTTATACAAGTAAAAATATTGACTAAGATTTCCAAAATTTGAGGTTATTATACTTTAGGCAGTAGAAAATAAGGAAAACGCATGTTTTAAACACTGCTAAAGTTCTGGAAATGTCTGTGACTCTTCACAGATATTGTGTTGTTCACAGTTCAGCCATATTATCTCCCCCTTGATTCGTGACGCTTCGATACGTATTTTTTTCAAACGCTAAATTAATCCATTTACAAATGAAATCTGAACCTATTCCTAGACTGATAAATTGAGTGGTAAAAATTCCGCATTATCTCAAATCTCTGCTCAATGAACGGACTTTTTTCTCTCGCTGAGTCGCTGTGTGAGATGAACAGTGGCACAGGCAATTGTGCTGGAAGTCTCGCGGGTGAAAAATGAATATGCACGCTTTTATGAATCATTGGTCTGTACAAATGAAGTGTGAGGAAGTTATGATGGGAGTCCATTGAGAGACGTGCATTCTCGCAAGAGGACCAATCAATTAATTCCTGTCCAAAGTGATGTGCCAGACTCATAAATCAACTGGCTATGATTTAATATTTGCACATCTTTCGGCTGATCATGTGCAGGGAGAGACGATGATACCCAGGAAAGTGACCTGTGCCCGCGCTCTGTATCTCGCGAATCTCCGCGCTTCTCCGCGGTTCTCGCTACGGCCGGAGAGACACCCGGAGGGCATTTCGAGTGTGGCTCTAGCGGATTAAGTGTGCTCATATGTGCACACAGGGACTGAGGAGTGGCGGGGAGAGATGAGACTTTTCAATAGTATAATTCAAAACATAAATATATAAACTTCTCGTCATGCAGAGACACAAAACCCGAGTCTGCAAATAAAATTCCTGTATATTATTGTGTATTTATTCTCTATATTTTATACGTTTTGCGCAGATAATCTGTGACCAAGTGTCTCTTGACTCTCCCGCTCACTTGGCAGATTCATCTCTCGAACACTACCCGCGGACCATCGCACTCCTCAAATAATCCTCCCTTCCCCCTCTCTCCCTTGGTCAATGCAAGCACGGCGAGGAAGAGTTGCAATGCAAATGACTCATGAGTCAAATTGTTTCGCGAATGCTGGAAAATCCTCCGCATCGCGTACATATTACCCACTTGAGCGATCTTTCGCCGAGATCTTCCACTGTGATTTCCCATTGAGAATAAATTCTAAATTGCCACATATATCATAACACATTTCCGCTATCATCCGATTCAGTCGCGATAGCCAGAATGACTTGAGAATTCCATACATTCAGCGGTTTGGAAACACGAGGCGGCCAAAGAGGAGCTTCTTGACGCCTCTGTGGGACAGTTCCATTGATCAGGCAATTAGATAAGAGCTTGCTCTCGAGATGGTGCTAAAAGTATCCTATTATGGATTGGCCGCTGAATAGGATTTGAGTTATTGTAAATTAAATAAATTCTATCGCGTAATTGCTGTGGACAAATGGGTGATTAAATGAAATTTGCACGCATTCTCACAGCGATCAAGTGTGTTAAGACCTCCAGCGTTTTCACCCAATATTGATTAATATTTCTTTCGCGACATTTATTGACCATAAACTCGCAAGTAAAGATTTTTTTTGCATCGCAATAAAAATTCGCATTTTTCTTTCATTTATTGCTATGACACGAACTCGACGGGAAAAGCCATACATATTTATTATAAATCAATTTATGTACCCAAACTAGTCTCCGAATGTAAATAGAAATAAACACGCGTCATCCTTCTTCCCTATTAAAAGTATAAATTCAAAGGGGAGATAATATGCCATTTAACACTTAACACTTTAAGAATTTAATCAAAATTTCTTGACTTTTCTTCCAATATTTCTCTAAAAATCCTCTCGAACCGCTTTTTAGGTGTCTTTTCGAACCATAACCTTAAAAATATCTCTAGAAAATCTTTATAAACTCGGTTTGGGTTTGGAAGCTTTCTTACTCAAAACTGCTAATTCAGAGTTTTAATCGTCCCGAAAGTATCCTAAATAAATCAATATTTCAGGCTCAAAAGAATATTTTTGAGGTTATATTTGAGTTCAACCCGATTTGCAGTGTTTCTTTGTATGAAAATGCCTAATTCTGTCAAAGACTATTGATCTCTTTGACTTGGACGTAAGAATTAATGTGTGAGAACCCGAATTATTCAATAAATCTGTCTTTAATTCCTTACATAACCTAAAAATGATTAATTTGATTGTTTCTGCATAAAATGCGAAAGAAATCTAAAGAATAGGGTTAATTTGTAGGGAAAATAAACACTTAGGAAAGGAATATTGTAAATTCACACTCCTTCTGAGCTGCACATCAGTTCTGACTATATTATCTCCCCCTTGAATAGACCAATAAGCAATTTGCCAACTATATATGCGCATTTTTGTAAATTACAGTATTATAAATTAATTAAGAAATATAATCTCTCATTGTCTATATCGCATTATTTTCTTTCCCTCCCAGGGAAGGAGGAGAATTTGACTGTGATGACGAAGAGGCGTTTTAATTCTATTGTATAATATTAAGTACATTCATAAATATCTTTGCGATCATAACTATGATTTCACGGCGATGCGTGTGTTCAGTCAGCAAGGAGTGCACGATAATCTCTCAGATAATCTCACTTTTAGCGCACAAATTCAACAATAATTGCACAGTGTGCATAGTAATTTTAATTTTATACATTAGTTCTGCAATTGAGGAGAAAATCTCCACTATATAGAGCCATCTCACATTGGTGGTGATTGAATATTATTCAGTGAGAAAAAGTTTGTGTGTTACAATTTCACCCAAGAGATTGCCATGCAAACGGTTCTGCAGAGTCGATAAATTGTTTTCTTTGCTCAAGCACCTTCTTTGCCAATTGCATCGATCTCCCAGTGTAAACTCCCAGTGACACACATTGCAATTATTAAATGATGCGACGATGAAAAATTACGTGCCATTTCGCAGCCAAGTACAACTCATCGGAAGAGCCAAAGACCGGCTGAGGTGAAGAAAGACTCGGCGGTTGAGATTGATGCGTGTCTCGGAAATATGGTATTATTGTAATTATGCCTTGGCTGAAGTATTAGAAAACGTTTTATATGAGAATTCTTCTTTTTCCGCTGCACAGCGAAATGGCAGGAGTTGGAAGATGATCTAAACCAGAATGCAATCTTCGCGGCCAAACAACTCATGCATCTATCATAGCTTTACCCAATAATTCAATAATCGAATTGAGTTGTGCGCGCGATGAGAGATCTGTGTTCCCACAGAAGGTCATTTCCATCTCTAAACTCCGATTCTGTCTCTTTTTCATACTTTTTTTTCGCGAAAACCAAGAGGAAACACTGCCAGAAATGTCTGACACTTCCAGCACAAGAAGTTTTTAGACAAAGTTTTAGACTATTTCCAGACTAATCCGCAAATTATAGTCAATATCTTAAAATATCACTAAGAAATCTTCAAAAGTCTCTGCTTGAAATCGTTCTATTGATGGAAGCTAACGAAAACGCCAATGTCAGCACAATCTTCCTTCTTATTGACATTTCTATGTCTCGATAAGAAGATATGAAGGGCCTCCAATGCCTCTAGTGTTTTTCTATTCTTGAAGCTTTCTAGATCACAAAATCGTCTAGAAAGTTGTCTAAATAATCACTTTCCAAATTCAAACGAAAAATAGTTTTAAGGTTATGATTGATGTTAGCACAATTTTCAGTACTAGAATGTGAATTATTCACTAAATCTGTCCTTGATTCGCTACATAACCTAGAAAAGGATCATTTTGATTGATTCTACGTAAGAACCAAAAAGAATCCAAAGAATCGGGATGATTAGTAAGCACTTCTGACTATATTATCTCCCCCTTGCTTGCATCCACATCGATGTCGGAAAGTGATTGAATTGGCTGCATCTTTAATCGGGTTGCGATCAAGCGGATATGACGGAAAATTGTGAGTGAGAGGACGAGACGCGGATGGCTCATGGAAATTTGAGGGTTGAGTCTGGCGACGTGAAAAGCACACGCGAGAGTCTCGACCATGCGGAGTGGAAATCGATAATTGGCTAGAATTTTCTATATGCCACAAAATGGGGCGAAATGCGGAAAATTGACTACTTGTGGTTGAAGCACAAAACACACTTTCTTTTCGCACAACAGAAATCCATAAATGATTGAGAATTCACCGGCAAAAGGTTGGCGCTTTTCGAAGAATCGGTGAAAGATGGGAAAGAGTGGGAGAAATCCACATTGATAAATATTTTATACGGTACATTGCATGCCGAAGAGACCGAATTCCTGGAGAATCCGCACACATATTGGGGGTGATTAAGTATTTAAAGAGGTGTTCTGCTGACGCGCCAAGTAATCGGCCACAGTATGAAAGACTCTTACCTTAAGAAAAGTGTAATCCTCCTCATGATGTCGCTCAAGGAATTGCTATATTTATTGGAATTTTCTGCTCCTCTCGTCAAAAAAAAACTGCAGCGAAAAAATTGACTCCTTCGGCACTTGGAACTCTGTCAAATTGCTCACAGAACACAAAAATAACCCCGTGAAATGCACAAATGCGCTCTGATGATCGGTCTTTGAAATTGCCACAGGGCGAAGAGATTGATGTGCCCTCGACGGTGATTCACAGCAAACTGTTTTGAATCACTATGTTGCGCCTACTTTTATTGTAACGTTACCAATGTGTTATAATGCTCTTGACACTGAGACTCTCGCCATGCACGATGCTTCGGCTCTTGTCTCTCTCTCTCTCCCCCACTCCCAGCCACCCAGACTCACGGCTATGGGCCACACACACAAAGTCCATCCACCTCTTCTCCAACTTCTTCAGCACGTCACATCTCCAGCTCAAGAGTGGCGGGGAAGCGCTCGGACACGCTGTGGCCCAAGCGAGATGGGAATCCACGCGGCTGCAGACTACAACACTTATTGCGCTCCGTCGAGCAGAAAACAGGGACAACTCTATGGAGCTCATGTTCCCCTGCGCGCACAGCGTCTCTGTGTGGTCGTTGCAAGTGTTGTAGGTCAGAGGAAAAGTCCCTCTGTGAAACGCGCCAGCCAGCCAGCCAGCTGAATTTCCTCCTCTCGCTTTTCCTCTCGTATTCAATCGGAATGGAGAGAGATTGGACAATTGTGTTGGAGATAATTAAAGTACAATAGCCCAGAGGGGATAAACGTCTTAATTGTCGCTCATATGATGTGCTCTTCCCGAAGCACTCTTCCATTCTTAGAACCCTCACCTAAGAGCACAATTAAGTGGGTTGACCTCAACCAGTGATTAAATGTATTCTAGAATCCAGCCACTAAGTCAAAGCAATGGGAAAATGTACTTTCGCAGAATTATTCCTAAAATTCTATTAGGAAACAATTCCTAGTGGATCTTAGAAGCAGACATGATGGAAATCGATCTTTTCACGCAGTTAATTGCGCTCGAAATTCTCTTGCTGGAATAAGAAGTCCTTCTGATTAAATGTCCTTTCTTGAGTAGCTGAAAATCCTTCGAATGATCCTCTGAAGTCGTCGTAATCAAATTTTAATATCGAACACTTGTAAAGTCCAAATAAAAAATAAAAATCGACAGGATAATTAACCCGAAAGACACCTTGAATTCACTTAAACCTCATTAAGAACCCAAAAGATATTTAAGTGGCAAGAATTCAAATGTTATCTTAAGTGGTAAAATTTGAGTTGTAGGATTGATTACTGCTTTGGCTCTGTTTTGATATCATAAAGGGATGAAGGATTCCAAAGGAAAAGTTATTTGTAATTTCAGATCATAAACATGATGGTTTTTCGTGATTTTTATCCAAATTCTGATTATTCTAGGTTTTTACTGTGTGAAAATCTTTATTTTCGCACTCAAATTTCTTCCTTTCCTGGTCAGGAAGTCATAAAGTTTGGGAATTCCTGAGAAGAGAAACTTAGGCAAGAAATGCGACCTAAATGGCGTTCTCCACGCCAACTTTGCTGCCCTCTGGCGATCAAATGTGGAGAAAATATTAAATTTTTGATTTATTTGCTAATTTAACGTGAAAAATAATCAATTTTTGATCTTTTCTTTCCCATTTTGATTGATTTGATTTTTCGCATATGAAAATCAATTTAAATATTTCATTAAAACCATAAGGATTCCTAGAAAATCGTCCAGAGATTTTCCCCTTGAGAAATTCACATCTCCAGCTTTTACGTGGAAATTCGTGGCACATCGATATGTCTCAGTGCTTCAATTGAAAATCCGAAAACAGATTTTTCACCTCATTTATATGCGATATTGATTAGTGTTGCGGATAATTTGCCTTGTAAATTTCGCATTAACAAATAACATTGCGTTTAGGTTTCCACACAAAAAAACACACATGTTTTCAGAGAAAATCCTTTTTATTCATTATCATTATCATCTTACAATGGTAAATGTGTGTAATTCCTCCATTCCAAAGTTGTCACAAGTTGAGACACTTTTGTTGCTTCGCATTTTACACCTAACATTTATGTAAATATATAAGCATTTACGTGTACATAAAGAGAATAATTATGTCCTACCATACATTCCTCACTGTTTCCTCCTCCTCCTCCTTTTGTATCCAATAAAGAAACTACACACTAAAAAAAGGATACAATCATCTGCCTCAGAGATTCATGGATAAAGAATCAATCAAATTGACAAATCTACTCAGTTAAGTTATAAGTAAATAAATGGAAAGTACGTGATTAACAGACGCAAATTTCACGCAAGAGAACTCAAGAAAAAGAGGGAAATCAACTCGTCTTCCCTTCACTATTTCGAGTGATGATGATGGGAAGTCTTGGTGCCCTCATTGGGAGGACGAAAGACTGTTCCCTAGGACTTCTTCCATGAATAATACATTTCCAGGGGTTTATTCACCTGCAAAGAGACCAATTGTCACTGCTGTGGAGAGAAATTGAGATGTAGAGTCAACTTACCTTCCAAAACTTCTCATTGACCTGCTGCAGAGACTGATTTCCGCTCAAGACGACCAGCTGAGATGGCTGCGGAGCGATGTAGATGCAGAAATTCACTAAGCGATACTGCTCGGGAAGCTCAGTTTCCAAGTCGAGTGTTAACCTCATTGCCAGATACTTGCTGAGATGATCAACTGTGAACCAGAGTGAAAATCCATTACAATTAGTTCGTACATCCATCTCCAATCAAGGGGGAGATAGTACAGCCAAAAGTGGTGTACAGCTCAGGCAGAAATAATTAAGGAGTGGAAAAACCTACAATATTCCATTCCTATGAGCTTCTTTGACTGACTAATCATCCAAATTCTCTGAATTTTCTTCGATTTTAACGCAGACAAACGTTCATATCTTTTTCTAGGTTATGTAACAAATTAAGGATAGGATTTAGTGAGTAGTTTGCATTGTTCTTGGCAGAATTAAGCATTTTCAAGCAATTAACAGTGCTTTTTTTTTGACCCTTTGATACCAAAAAACAGTGCAATTTATGCTAAGATTGAACATAACCTCAAAAATAGACATTTGGACTTAGAAAATGTCCATTTAGGCAACTTTCTAGGCAATTTTGTATTGTGAATCAGCAATTTTAAGATCATTGGCAAATCAAAAGAGATGTTTTTATGATGTAGAAAGTTTTTATACTGAGTTCTTAAAGCTTTTTTAGTGATATTTTTGAGGTTATGATCAGAAAAGATGTTAAAAAACAGCAGTTTTAAGTCGATTCTTATAGAAACATCGAATGGAAACTTAAGAGATTCATTATAAATTGAGAATTAATGGGGAAAAAGACTACAAGTTTGGAAGTGGTGTACAGATTGAAGGCATATTATCTCCCCCTTGTGTGAAATGCACAATTTCTGTGTGAACTTCCACTTGGCGTGGGCAGAAGAATGTTGCAGAGCATTCTTTCAGTCATTACTCAAAACCTATTACGTGAAATATTTCCATCTCTTTTTATTATTATTCCTATTCTTATTGTATTTCCCTTCCCCCCGCGCGCATAGAAAGCAATACCTTGTTTGGCATGGCGTGCAAAAAAGTGTCATTTTTAGTGTGATATGACTCACATGAAAGGAGCATAAATTTAATTTCCATTCTTTCCATCTTTTCTTTTTCACAGCTTCAATTTACATTCTTATTTTAAGAAGAAGATGAAGAAAAAAAAGACAGACACTCAATCTTCCGCAGAATCGTCTTTATTTCGTTACGTCTCATAAAAAATAAGAAATAAAACATCAACTGTGTGTCTCATGCAATTTCCTCTCTTCAGAACAGTACCACACACAATATCTTCCCTTCTATTCTTGTGAAGAAGCGGACAAGATTTCTGATGTCTTCAGACACTCCACAATCTCTCAGAACTCAAAGCCACACGATTGTAATGTCTGATAATTTCACACTTTTTAGATAATTAACAAGAGAAGAGCGCTCTTCGTGAAACATGAACTCATTATAATTGAATCAAAAGTTTGTTTTATTAAATGTTTTCACATACAAACATTATTATAAAAATACATAAAATTGAAATGCAGAGACTAATTTTTTTCCAACAAGTCCATCAATCGGAAATTTCACCTACTTTACTTTTAATCAAAAATTAATCACTCAAATTAAATCCATTGAGGGATTATAATTGTATTATTTTGAAAATGAAAATAACTCCAATAACATCACACTGAAATCATGTAGAAAGGTGTGAAGACTGGACTTTCGTGTTGTTAACTAATTTGTTTAATAACAACAACAACGAAAAAAAAATGAAATTCTAATGTTTTGCTATTTGTTTAATTACAAGAAAAGAAGATTATTATTTACTTATTTGTATCCGCCCATTGAAATATTTTGCGAAAAAGTACAAATTGATTTCTTTGAAGCCATAAATTGCTTCACATTTTTCTTCATTCACAAATTACTCAAATGCAGGGCGAATTATGAATTTGATCGATTAAGATTATTAGAGTAAATTTTTCTGCATTTCACACGAAATCCCACATCTTGAATCGTTAATAAAATCACAAATGTACTTTTTATTTGCTTCTCCTCTGAAGATAAGGGATTTTCGGTTACAATTTATCTCTTTTACTCCCCCCAAAAAAAGGGTTCTTGAGGGTTGCTTAAGTGAGGAATGGATTAACCATTTCAGTCGGAATATAAAAGAATATCCATGAATGGATGCAAATAAAAGTGAAAATCCCTTGGAATTACGCATAATGTGTGATGAAGAATTAAAGCCTTAATTCCATCGTTCTTAGAATACATAGAATATAGAGAATATATTTATTAATCGCTCAAAAGATTGTGCTTTTGTGAGTGAATTTAATTAATTTGCTTCACAATTAAAATTTTACGGGGTTTGTGATGAATAATTGTTTATTGGGTGCCGTTTAAACCCCCCAAATTAGTCAATTGCTTAAATTGTGGTGTGAAAAAAGGCCAAATCCGTGAAAAAAAAAACTTGCCGCAATCTAGGATAGAACTTATAAACGCAGATGTGCAAAGGAAAAGGACGCGAACATGCAATATTAGCAACCTTCCAAACGAGTATTGTGGAAAATTACATTTTAGACTTTAAAAAAGAGTTTTTAGAAGAAGTTTCGTAATATTTCGTAATTGTTTTGAAGAATAATTAATGGAATGGATGGAATGCATTATGGATTATATAAGGAAATCCGAAAGAATGCAAATCACTTTTCTCCAACCTGAGAAACCCTCGCGAGTTATTCGAATTCCTTCCAAGCTAGAATTTCACTTTAGCATTAAAGTTATCGACACTGATTTTAAACCAAATTTCAACACAATTTTGGGGAGAAATAATGAAAATTGGCAGTCTTAGAACTAATAAGTCCATAATCACTCCTATTTTTCCCCTAAAATTGTGTAAAAAGGAAATTTCAGGCATTTTGTCGACATTATTTCCGTGCAATTTCCTTGTTTGAACACAATTTTAGAGGAAAAATGGAACTGATTTAGTCCCAAGACTGTCGATTTGAACTATTTTCCGCCTAAATTGTGTAAAAACTTGGTTAAAATTCTCTGTGGAAGAAAAATCTCCATCCAGCAGTAATTCTGCCCAACAATTGAGAGAAATGTGGGAAAGTAATGACACTCACCTGTGGCATTTGCCGTGGTCTTGATGTAGCGCACGGAATTCTCCTTGAGCGCCTTCACCAGCTGATTGTCTCCGGCCATTTCCGTGGGATGCGGCTTGAACACCAGCTCGATTTCGTCGCTCATGCCCACGTCGGAATTGCAGTCGCCTTCGGTGTCGATGTTGGAGTCGTTTCCTTCCGTTCGGCAGTCCATCTCGCTGTTGCTCTCGGACTCCTCGGACCGCTCGGACGTCAGCACGGAGCGCGAGCGCTTCAGCTTGCTGTTGTAGCTGTTGGTGGACAGCACGGGCGACGGCGTGCTCCGGATGGAGGGCGGATTGGACGCCTGGCGATTGGGCTCGCCGCCGGCCGAGGCTCCGGCGCTGGAAGAGGACTCCCGGGTGGCGGAGTCACCGCCACTGGTCGGATTGCTGGCTCCGTTGCCGCTGGAGGAGTTCGCGGGCTGATTTCCGTTCTCCTCGTTGTTCTTCCGGCTGCGCTGCGGCCGATTCTGCGACTGCAGTTTTATGCCCTCCGTGATGGAGTTCACCAGGGCTGCCTGTGAGTGGCTCTGGTTGAATTTAGCCAGCACGCGCTCCTGGTGCGCCTCGTACTCGTCCCGACTCGGGTAGATCTTCGAGATGAGCAAGTCAAAGTTGGGATCGTGGCGCAGCGAGCGCTTCGACACCAGCTTCTTCCGGCACGTGGGGCACTCCTTGTTGCCGGAGCGCAGCGCCGTCACGATGCAGTCCGAGCAGAAGCGGTGCAGACACTCTTTTGTTGTCATCGTCTTCTTCAGCATGTCCAAACAAATGGGGCACATCAGCTCGCTGTGGAGACTTCGCGGCGACACCGCGATTTCCGTGTTGTCCGTGATGGCCTCCTGTGGAGATCGGTGGATCTCGTACAGGGACAAGTCCCATGTCTTGTTCACTGGCTCTGCAGAAGCCATGATTCCACAAGAAATTGCCTCTTTCTACAAAAACACCATCCACCATAAACACTGAATGACACTTTCAATGGCAGCGCAAATTCTACTGCTGTTTTATTACACCATACGATGGTAATTTTTTACCAAAATTTCAATTGAGAATTATCGGAATCGTCACTGTTCAATGATTCATATGATCTCTGAGTATTTTCCTTCACATTCCCAATATTCATTATGAAATATTGAAAATTCTTTTTGAATCTCTAATTATTTTACTATGTAAAATAATTACACGCCATTTCTCTTTCTGGTTGCAATACCACTCACCCAGCGGCGCTGTGCGCAGTCGGAGGACACGGCGCTGTCATTGGTTGTCAAGTTTGTTTTGGTTTTCCTCAGTTTTGTTGCAAATACGCCCTGAAATCGTAAATGTTCTGCAGAAATAGTGTATAGATTGGTGTTCAAGAGAGGTGTTCACGATGACGAGGAGCTACTCGAGGAGTCCCGCACGGCGGAGTAGAGCTTCGCACAGAAGAGCCTCTCCGGATGACGATAGAAAGTATCATCAGGGAAAATCGAGGTCAGGAAGACGCTCTCGGAGTCGCAGTTACAGCCCGGAAAGAAGGGGTTCCAGCTGGCGGAACGCCGACCACTATCGTGAGCGGAGTCATCATCGCCACGCGAATGGGGAAAATCGTCACAGACAGAGGGAAATGACGGAGTCTTCCCGGCCGGGAAGGGAGAGAAGTGACTCTCCGAAGCGTGTGAAGGAGTATGTGGAGCGATGGCCCAGCGACAAGTACTATGAGACCAATGATCCACGGAATCGCGCTGACAGGAGCCACTCGAAGTCCAGCAAAAAGGCTCCGATGGACGAATTGTTCAAGACGCGACGCGTGCAGAGGGAGATTATTGGATCCGAAGGAGCTGAAGTGGTGTGGGCAGCTTCTCCGGCGCGCTCAGAGACGTTCTCCGATGACGAAAGCAAGTGGCACGAGGAGGAGCAGTCGCCCAGTGGGCAGAAGAAGGGGAAGAAGAAGTCTAAACTGAAGGAGAAGAAGGCAAAGAAGAAGCAAAAGAAGAAAAAAGCGAAGAAGAAGGCGAAGAAGCGGAAGAAGGCTGACTCCTCCGAGGAGAGCAGTTCAGACGGGGAGGAGGAGGATGAGGAGGACGTGTGGGTGGAGAAGACGGCCACGGCGGGCAAGGAGAAGACGCTGCAGAAGGGCGAGGAAGTGGAGGAAGTTGGCCCGGCGATAAAGTCCAACTCTTCGCTGACGCAGAAGGACTTCGGACACGCCCTGCTGCCCGGCGAAGGTGCCGCCATGGCGGCGTACATTGCCGAGGGCAAGAGAATTCCGCGGCGAGGAGAAATCGGCCTGACGTCCGAGGAGATTGCCAACTTCGAGTCTGTCGGATATGTCATGAGTGGCAGCCGGCACAGGCGGATGGAGGCTGTCCGGATACGGAAGGAAAATCAAATCTACTCGGCGGACGAGAAGCGCGCTCTGGCGATGTTCAGCAAGGAGGAAAGGCAGAAGCGGGAGAACAAGATTCTCTCCCAATTCCGCGACATGGTCAACTCGAAGCTCAAGGGCGATCAGTAGAGCGAACTGTGTTGAATGTATTCTATATCTGCTTTGTAAAATATACAAGGGGGAGATAATATGCATTAAATCTGTACACCACTTCCGAACACTTCCAGCACTTGAAATTTCTCAAATTGAATTAAAATTTCTTAAGTTTACAATCAATATTTCCGTAGAAACCCATTTAAAATTACTTTTTAGACATCTTTTACGATCCTAACCTTGAAATATCATTAAGAAATCTTCAAAATCTCCATTTGGAAGCTTTCTAAATCTCCAAATCATCTCTTTTCATTTGTAAATGATCTCAAAATTGTTAATTCAGTGTCAGAAACGTCTAGAAAGTTTTGTAAATGAACATTTTCCAAGTTCATATTACTCTTTTTGAGGTTATATTTGACCTCAAGACAATTTCTAGTGTTTCTTGACATCAAACATAAAGAATATCCGTGTTACTTTCCATGCAAATGCTTAATTTTGCCAATAAAAAGTAATCTTGTCGACTTTAGCATAGGAATTGATATGCTAGAATGCGAAATATTCGTTACATAACGTAGAAAAAAGGATTATTACGTTTATTTCTGGCGAAAATCGAAGGGAATCCAAAGAAGCAGGAGAATTTGCCAGCAAAAGAAGTAGTCAGGAAAGGAATATTAAAGGTTTTTCAGCACTTCCACTTCTTAAGTACTTCTGCTGATCTGTACACCACTTCTGACTGTTTTATCTCCCCCTTGGAAATATATGCAGTTGTGTGTTGCCTGCAGAAGAATTGCGCAAGATGTTTTTTTCTCCATCATCAGACAACAAGAGAGCGACAGTTGGGCAATGAGCCATTGCGGGAAATGCGTGGTGTGTGCGTATTTTTAAAAATGCGCGGGAGGACGACGTCAAAAAAAGCTCCGAAGTGAGGTTATGCGTGAGGTGCAGGAGTGCAAAAAACGCGAGCGATTCCACAAGAAGTTGCGTGGCTTTTCTCTCTGGCAAATGGTGATGGTAAATTGGCGTCTTCCGCCACGAATCGGGAGTGCATTGATGTGAGAAATCCAGCGAGGAATCAGCCACTGTTGTGCCTGTTGAGTGTGTGAATTGCCGAGGTGAGAAATCTTTGGCCACCATGTGGAATAAATTACATAAAACGTGTTTTTGTTTTGATAATTAATCAATTGCTGGCTTAATAATTTCCACTCTATTTGCTATGATTCGTCATTTGCATATGAAATATTCAAATTGGTCGTATCTCTGCGGTGCTCCGTGGCTGTGATGTGTGTGTAATTTGGGGGGGAAAATGGGAGGAAAACAGCTGGGAAAAGTGCGTTCCGGAGAGCAGCTTTTGCACACCTTTTGCTTCCCCTCCACTCAATCTCCATGACGCACGCACACACGCGTTTCTTCTTCTGGCTTTCCTCCACGCAAAAATGCGCTCTTCGCCGGCCAGAAAGGATGATGCAATCCTTCTTGGTCATTGACTGATATCCTCCAGTCTCTCTGGTTGTGTTTGGATTGCAAGCGGAAAAAGCGGGATTAATTAAGTGAATTTACTTAATTGAATTCAATTGTTGTCTTACCAATTAAGACACTGTCGCGCGCGCGAGACTGCTTATTGAAGCTCTGCGTCTTCCAGCGATCAGTAGGAATGCCGTCGACCACGAGAAGTGACGCTCCCACGGAGCTGCGGACCGTGAGCAAGAGTGTGGACGAGATCAGCCCCTGCGATGGACCGCCGCAGAAGGTGCAGATGAAGAAGCAGCTCGGCCTCCTGGAAGGATGCGCCATTATTCTGGGAATCATTATAGGATCAGGTAATTCTCTTGAGGCTTGCCACGCCTCAACAGGAGCTTGACACTCTCGTCTCTTCTCGCAGGGGTGTTTGTGTCGCCCAAAGGAGTGATCCAGGAAGTGAACGCCGTGGGAACTTCGCTCCTGATCTGGGTGGTTTGCGGCCTCCTGTCCATGATCGGAGCGCTGTGCTATGCTGAACTCGGCACGCTCATACCAAAGTCCGGCGGCGACTACGCCTACATCCTGGAGGCGTTCGGCCCCCTTCCCGCCTTCCTCTATCTCTGGGACGCCACGTTCATCTTCGTGTAAGTTGCGCACGAGCGCGAAAACCTTCAAGAGAGACACTCATCGACCTTTCTGCAATTCACAGACCAACGACAAATGCCATCATGGGCATGACATTCGCCAGTTACGTCCTCCAGCCGTTTTTCCACAGCGACTGCCAAATTCCCGGACTGTGCATCCAACTGCTGGCCGCCGTGACCATCTGCCTGCTGACATTCATCAACTGCTACGACATTAAGTCCACCACGAAGCTCCAGAATGTGATCATGTTCGCCAAGATCGGCGCCCTGGTGATTATCGTGCTGGTGGGATTGGTGTGGATGTTCCTGGGACACACGGAGAATTTCGATGCGCCCTTCGCGGACACCGAAACCGACCCAGGGAAGCTCTCAGTCGCCTTCTACTCGGGCATCTTCTCATACGCCGGCTGGAACTACCTCAACTTCATGACAGAAGAACTCCGCGAGCCGTACAAGAATCTCCCCAGGGCCATCTTCATCTCCCTGCCACTCGTGACTGTGATCTATGTGCTGGCCAACATGGCCTATCTGGCGGTGCTGACGCCACAAGAGCTGGTCGCCTCCAATGCCATCGCCGTGACTTTCGGCAACAAGGTGATGGGCGTGATGGCGTGGGTGATTCCACTGATGGTGGCCATCTCCTCGTTCGGCGGACTCAGTGTGCATATCATGACCTCGTCCAGGATGTGCTTCGTCGGCGCCAGGAACGGCCACATGCCCGCCATTCTCTCTCATATCAACATCAACAAGTTCTCCCCGACGCCGTCTCTCGTCTTTCTGGTGAGTAAAACCACAAATTCCTTGCAAAATCTCGCTACACTGAGACAAAAATCGTCTCGATTGACCTGAATTTATTTTTTGGATGAAAATGGACTAAAATTAATCAAAGTAAGCCGAGAAAATCAAGTCAAAAGCACGATTATTTAGCATCTTTTCAAGAAATGTTTTTTTTTTGTCTTGAAAACATGCAATAAAAAGCTTATTTATTTTGATAATATTACTAATATTCTTGTACAAAACCTTTATTTTTAATGTTACAAATAAGAAAAATCTATTCTCAATTTATTTTCACTGCAAAATCGACTTAAAGCCTCGTTGCAACTTAACTTTCCTGTCATTTTAAATAAGCTGTCAAAAATATGAATTCGTAAAAAGATGTTGCAAGATTGCGAGTTATGATATTTACGAAAATGGGAAATCCATTGGCGCTTGAAGTCAATTCATATATTTAGTCGTGTGAAACTAGAGAAAAGCTAGAAAATTCACGTGAAAACCAAAGAAATAGACAGAAAATGTTTTTATCGTATTGAAATTCGTATTAAATAAACCCTAAATTTGTCTTGCAACGCCTTCTCGATCGTCTTTCATTCGTACTTCACACTAGCGCCACCGGGCGGCCGCAAATATAAGCTATGAAGAGCGGAAAGATGCAACACAAATTGGTAGTTTTTACGAACTGGAATACGAAATTCGTAACGTTGCAACGACCAATTAGTTAAAAAAGCTTATTTAAGTTGAAAATAAGGTAGAATATTGAGCTGAAATCTTATTTCACATTAAGGTGTGGAAAAAGACTTGAAATTATGCCAAGAAAAGTTATTAATTTGATGCAAAAACCGTTTCGTTTCATCGGAAGGTGGAAAACTTAAATTTGTGACTGTCGAAGAGCTTGAAAAGAACTCGAAAATAGGTAAATTCAGGTGATTTGGAAGACCTTTCGCTCGTTTCTTGCTTCAAGAACACTTTATTTCTCTAAGTGTCGATGCCAATGCTCAATTGAGTGGCTTTTCCACAAAGCACGTCTATATTTTTCATCAATTGATGACGATATGCAAATTTGTGGCTGTTTCTCGTGTAAACACAATTAGACTTCATCATTTGGTTGACACAACATCAACTAGAGTGTCCGGCAGAGTGAAAAGTCCCCGGAATTGTCCAGTGATAATTTGTGCTAATTTAATAAATGGCACAACTGTGCAATGAGTCAGAAATTCAGTGGACCAGACACAGATATAAGCAAAATATTCTGTCATTTTTCCCACAGAATCTCCAAAAAGGCCAAAAGAATGTTCATGCCAATAAGTTAAATTGATTCACGCTCAACTTTTGTGGTTACTTTTCAAACTTTTCTATTTATCTTTATAATATATGAATGGGAAAGGGAAAAGAGGGTGGAGGAAAAGGGTGTGTTTTGGGTATTGTTGGAAAAATGTGTCACAATTTCAATTTTGAAAATTGCAGCACCGCAACAAGAAGCACTTCAATAATTCATGTCTTCTTCACTGTTATTACTTTGAATAACATTTCCAGAAGCATGAATTTGCACAAAGTTTCATATTGGTGGTATTTAAATTTTCTTGTGATGCATAAAGACTCATTATTGCAGCAGCACAGCTCTGCGATGGCACAAAATGAATGGCACGACGGACTGCAGAGTTGAGAGACTCTGGGTGGAAATTGTTTTAAGCTCAAGCACTTCACTGTATATTCACTTATTCACACTATATTCACATTTATTCTTTGTCCGGCTGCAAATTTAGATTTTAGAGATGCAAAATTCAGTGATTCTCTGAGCTTCGGAGCTTCCAAAATGTTCAGTTGACTTGCAAAAGTTTCTTATTCACTCTCAATTTCTCATATTAAATTCACATTTGCACATTTAAAAGACTTTTTTTGACTTCTTTTCTTGCCCACAAAAATGGTGAAAAGTCATTAATTTGTCTTCACAGCATGGAAAAATATCTCAGGAAATTTGTAAAAATAATAATAGTGATCTAATATACATGGAAAAAGTTTAATTGGAAAACTTCAACGGAGAAAACTTATCAATATTTGCCTGTGAAATGTCAGAATAAAATGTCAAATATGTTTGTGTGAAAGCTTTCCTACTTTCAGGATGATACCTTGTGAATGATAATGGAGAATGTAATTTAGCAATAAAAGAATGGCTTCACACTCTGCGCCCGTATTTTTGCACACTTTTTTTTTTAAACAATGAGCTTTTGTGGAACCATTCAATTTGGATTGTTTGCAGAGTTCATTGAAATTAGTCCTGAAAAACACATCGAACCAAAATTCTCATTTTTATCACGGATTTGCAGTGTTTTTTTTTTATTGCCGAGAACAAAACGCGGCTTTTTAATGTTGTACAGGCAAAATCGACCTTTTTCAAGAGGCTGAGTTGAAAATTAAGCTTAAATTAATTGTGAAATTTGCCAAATTTACCTTTAAACACCTTTCAGTCGTCCATTGAATATATTCAATATTTTGTGGACATTCCAATTGATTTTATTAGTATTCATTGGAATTTTTGACTGAAATATAGAAAAGTTAATAGAAAAATTGAAAATATTCATTTACAGAGTCGAATTTCATTCTTTTTGGAGTTATTTATGTTTTTCAAAGAGGCGTTTTAATGCATTTTGAGACAATTTTTTTTTGAAAAAATATACGACAAAGCATGAAAATTTATCCATTCGCGTATTTTGGATAGATAAGATTCATTACATTTATTAAAATGCAAATTTCAATATCTTTCTTAACAGAACAGATAAAAAAGCTTTTCAAAAATACATTAGCGTCATATTTCACTGGTTTAAAAGATATAAACAATGAATTTCATTAAGTTTTTACACTATTTTGAGGGAAAAACAGTAAAAATCGGCAATCTAAAGACTAATTAATACATATTGGTCCAAATCAGTCTTATTTTTGGCCTTAAAATTTTGTTCAAAAAGAAATTTGAGGCATTTTGAATCGATAAGTGTCGGTAAGTTCACCCATTTATCGATATTTACTAGACATTTGCTAGCAATTACTCGTGAAGCTGGAGGTCTGAAATTTTCCATCAATCTTCCCTCATTAATAAATAAAGATCATATCAATTTGAAGACAATCGAACAATCCTTAATCCGTTTCTGAGACTAAAACCGAGCCAAAGTACAAAACAAACCGAACCAAATAATCTTTGATTATTTCTTCGGAACATTTATTTTGGGGCTTCTTAAAGCGATTTAAATTAACTTGAGGTGTCTTTAGGATAATTAGTCTGCCGATTTTCATTCATTATCTGGACTTTATACGTGTTCGTTATGAAAATTTGATTAAGTGAGTATCAAATTATGGGATGTGAACAATATGCGACTTCAAAGGATCGTACAGAAATTTTTTGACTGCGCAAGAAAGGACATTTTATCAGGGAAATAACCAGAAAGACTTCTTATTCCAGCAAGAGAGTTTAGAGCGCAATTGACCGCGCAAAAAGGGTTGATTTCGCGGAAAAAGTGTCACTGAATAACTTTTTCGACAAATTATTCAGCATTTTTAGACAGATTCCGTCATGTCTGCTTCTAAATTCCATTAGAAATTGTTTTCTAATGTCCCTCTAATCTTTTTAATATCGCGAGGAACAGATTTCACGAGTCTGAGACTAAAAGCAATAAATATAATAATGAGAAAGAAGACTTAAGCACTGATTTTCAGTCGTTTTTCCACCTAATTGTGGGGTCAAAATCGTTCAAATTACTCACTAATTCACTAACTTACCGACTTTTCAACGTGGTCTAATAATTCCCTAAGATGTTAACTTTGAAAAATCGACTTTCCATACTTACTTTTCGATTCACCCGTCGATTTGTACAGCAGCAATTGAACACTGAGGATTTATTATAGGAAAAAAAGTCACGAGAAGGATTATCTTTAGTCTGAATTGGTAATATTGTGAAATAAATATATTTAAAGTGAGATAATGAAATCATTGATGTTTTACAATGAGAATTGAAAAATTAATTTTTTCAATTTCAACAGTGTTCAATACTTGTATCATTTGTGGAATTTTTTTTGCTTATATTTGCGTTGGTAAATTAGAAATTTTTATGATGGTCAAAAATTGTTGTGATTTCTACTAATTAACATGATTAAAATCAAAAATTATGTGCAACATTCAGGCGCATTAGACTGGAAAGTGTTTCATGAATCATCAAATATCGCAAATATATATATATATATATATTTTGACCAATAATTATCATAACAAAATATCAATCAATTAGAGGTGTAATTATTGAGCTTCACCGAAATTTCCTGAATGGACAAATGATGCCCATTTGCGTGATTCCCAGTTTCCATTGGAAATATAAACAAATTAGTTTTGTTAATGTTGATTTGACAGAGTTTCACAGAAAATTTAAATTACCACCGCATGTGATTATTACGGCTATCACAGGTCTTTGAATACACATTTCAATTAACACAAATTCATTGGCTGTCAGGTGTTCCGACAGTCAAATGAAATACCACACATGTCCCGGGGCTCGATTAATTGGGACAGCGCAGTTTTTTTTATTGTTGCTGTTCCTCATGGAAATCTGGTCGATTTCGGTGGTAATTGCAAATTCACAATATTCTGCGTGTAAAGAATTCTTCATGTGGAAAACTGTTGTGAACAATGCCATTTGCTAAAGTGATACAACTTGTAGGAATGGATGGGAAAACCACAATTTGTGCAGCCGCGTGGCTATTCTGCAGCACAAGAGAGAGAGAAAGAGGAGCAAAAAATTCAATTATGGAGAGTGTGTTTTTATTTCTGTGAAACTCTCTTTTTTTTGCCATCTTGTGCCACTGCAGAAATTTCTCCGGGAGAAAATCCCTTTGATGAAGAAGCCATACTTCATTCTTTGGGAGCTTCCTTGTGAGTTCAAAGAAGAGAGTCTCGATGGGATTAAATTGAATTATAGCACCTGAAGTCGGTCAGTAAATTGTAATCTATGCACAAAGCAATCAATCTTACTTTCCACGCCAATATAGAAGAGATATTATGGTCAAAAAGTCAGGAGAAGTAAAGTGTCAATAAGCAATTACCGATTTTCTGTACCCTATAATAAGAAAATGACTAAAAATCACACTTTCTTAAGAGCAAAATGCTGTAATTTTCACAGATAAATTATTGTTCTTGGTGGATTAAAATGAAGAAATGGTGCGAAAGCGTTAAACGATAGTTAAAAATATACTAAAAGTAATTTGACAAGCCAAATTCAGGACGTTCTTTAATGTAAATGTCTTCTAGACATTTCAAATTCATGATTTAATGTAATTATTCCAGTCAGTATTATGATAATAACGTGGATTTAGAGCAAAATATGCAGACGATATATTCATATCTTTCTTCATTTTGCAATATCTCAGCCCCGAATTAAGGATATCGTCATGATTTCAACGTCATTTGAAAGACCATTAAATTCTGATCACTTTTTGTCTGAAGGTAAATGTCTCGAAAATTGAAGGAAATCTTGATTTTTTAGCACCAAAAGTAAAAATGACCTAAATTACATAGATATTCTAACCTAATTTTCGCTACTGTATTTGAAAGTATTTCAATATCATCAATATGATGCGTTCTGAAGTAATATTAAAGAGAAACTAATGCAAAACTTGGGGAAAAGAATTGTTCTCTTCATATTTCTAGGTTATGTTATGAATTAAAGACAAACTTTGCCACTAAATAACCTTCAAAATCATTCATTCTTGCGTCTAAACTGGTAAATTTGCAATTTACTGGCACAATAATGATGAAATCTGACGGAGATCACAAATTTTCAATTTTAAACTGTGTTAAATATGTTAAGATTGAACATAACCTCTAACATATTGTTTCAGAATTCAAAATTGCCTATTTTCAGAGTTGTTTGATTGAATTTTCTACTCAAAAATGGTAAATTTCACCTAACTTTCGATTATTAACAGATTAATATTCTCCAGATTTGCATTTCAAAGATTCTAAATAAGTTTCCGAGTAATTTTTTAGGTTATAATCCAAAGCGCAGCAAATAGAGTTTGATAGATTGATGTTTTTTCAAGTTATTCGTGCGAATCTTAGAAGAATTGAAGTTAAATTACAGAAAATAATGTGAATCTTTAAGTTTTCTTTCCATTATATAATCTATTTGCCATGAAATAATATTTTTTTGTTATTTTAAGACTTTTTTGTCATTGCTTTTGGATTAAACTTTGAAAATAATTGAAAAATTACTGTCCAAATGCCCCAAAGTGAGGCAAATTGCAGAAAATTCTTGCGTTTTTCCACCCTGAGCAAGAGAATTCAAAAGATCGAATAGAATTTCCCTCCAAAGTTTAATCTTTTTGTGCGTCCCAATCTACCCCACTCTCCCCTATATCAAATTATCCGCTGGAAACTTCATGTATTTCTAAAATACAATTTTTTCTGTCATCTTTCCGGGCCTGTTAAGTAAAAATCGCGTCTGTTTTGGGACAAAAACTCCTAAATTTGGCCGAGAAAATGAGGAAAAGCACTAGAAGTGTCTGTGATTCTCCCACGGATATTGTGCACACTGTTTAGCCGTATTGCCTTCCCCTTGTGCCATGCTTAGTCACCTCGCTGTGATATGCATTTGAATGCGATTGGCTTCTTTTCAGTGCATCCTGTCGCTGATTATGCTGTGCATCAGCGACGTGTACGTCCTGATAACATACTGCAGCATCGTCGAGTCCACCTTTATCATGCTGTCCGTGGGCGCTGTGCTCTACTTCCGCTACAAATATCCGAAGAAGGAGCGACCCATCAAGGTGTCCCTCTGGATACCAATCGTGTTCTGCCTCATTTGCGCCTTCCTCATCGTCGTGCCGTGCTATGTGGCGCCCTATGAGGTGGTCATGGGCATTCTCATCACCGTCACGGGCATTCCCTTCTACTACATGGGCGTCGTGTGGCAGCGGAAGCCACGCTGGCTGACGACAGTCATCGTGAGTGGCACTCACGTCTGCCAGAAGCTCTTCCTGTCGGCCACGGAGGAGAAGGAGGACTGAAGTGAGAGAGGTTTTATTGCTAACAATTTTACTGCGCTGTGAAGTGGATCTTCGGTAAAATCTCCAACCAAATTGTGCGAATCTCAGAATAATTTCAACATTTCTCTCTATCCACACAAAAACCATTCACTTTAATGGATTGTTTATCTCTTTTTCAAGGATATTATTGTAGTACTTAAAGGCCTATGAGGTATTTTATACATTTCTTTGTACACGTGTGTGTTGTAGTTCTGCAGAAAATGGAACGAGTGTCGTAGAAGAGTAATTTTGACCACAGTTTGACAAGAGTTTGTTCAATTATATGTACTTCTTATGTTAATCACTGGACTTTAGTGTGTAGATTTATGTATACTGGATAATTTTCGAAGCATTTCCGCGTAAAAATTCCCCCTTGAATATGACCCAGTTTTGATCTGATGTTGTAATAATGTGTAGAAAAAAACCCAATTGTGAGAAGAATTTAGACATGTTTTGTACAAATGATTAAAGAATCCTCTGAATCTCCTCAGTTATTGCTTGGCTAATGAGACCACAAATTATTGCTGGCTTCTCCCAAAGTGTATTTATTTATATTATGTGAATTGTTACTTGTTAAGCTTGTCTCCCATTCTCAATTCAGCATGAAGAAGGAAAAAAAGAAAGAAATCTTTGTATATGGAAAAATTGTAAGGAACACATAAAAGAGAGAATAAATGTACATTATAGAGTTTTAAATGCAGAGAAAATGCAAGAAGAGGAGAAATAAAAACCACATTTGAGCATAAAATTTGGAATTTCCCTTTAAATGTTGATTTAAGTGATAGAAAATTCAACGAAACCAAAATGTTTCCAATACAAAATTAGATTCCCAAACACACAGACACAGAGAGAGAGAGAAGTTAATTTAATTTTATGACATACGATTTCGTTGTAATGTATAATTTCACAGCTATGCAAAACTGCGAGGATAAAAAGAGCTGAAAGAGTGTATCAAATGCGAGCACACAAGTTTTATTTTCAACCGTAATTTCCCATCTAGAGCGCGATGGCACTTTTGTATTGTGACAGGGGCCAATTTAATTTTGGGTGCACACCAAAATGGGAGGGCAAATTTAATTAAAGTTGCATGATTAAAGTGATTAAAGTTATTGAAAATTTCTCACCAGAAATTTTATCGGTTATCCAAAATCTCACCTTCTCTCTATATTCCAATTTATGGCTCTTCTGCGAAGTTGTGCGAACGACATTTGTAATTCGGTGAAAGCATTAGTCGAGTAGAGAAATGATGAATTTACTGAAAATTGCTTTTCTATGACAATTTTCTGTATAAATGTAATGATGAAATGTTTCCAGTTTGTTAAGGGGTTGTTAATATTGGGGTTGCAATGCTACTTCATAAATCTTCAGTTCATTTTCAGTGCATCGCGATGCATTTATTTTCTGTTAATTCCTAATTGATCTATTTTGACGATACAACGATTTCGCGGTGGTTCTCGAAAAAGAAAACAAGTATTTTACGTCTTTAAAATTTTATTAAGGCGGTTTTCTCGACTGAAAAACTTACAAACACCAAATTACACTAGGGAACAAAAATCACACTTTTGTCTGTCCTTTTCATGAGATTCCTTGTTGAGGAAAAACCCTGTATTTCAGTCAGATGGAGAAGAAATATCGCTTTAGCATGCATTGGGGAAATGCTGCCCCAGAAGTGTTCTACACACAAGAAAAATAATCTGACATAAAACTTTTTTTCGTTTCGGAGATATTTAACATATTGTGGCCAAGAAACAGGCGAATTTCTTACCAAGTGGCGCACAAAAGATCATTTCTGACCAACAAGAAAGGATCTAAAATTCCCACAATGTTTGACAAAGTTGTAGATAATTTCAATATCTATAATTTGAGCCTGATTTGGGGGAAATCCGTGGAAAATTGGGCGAGATATGAGCACATAAGTGCGGCAAAGTGGGGGGGAAATAGAGGAAAATAGGCTCCAGGAGGAGAACCTGAGAATCTAGGGGGTCAAGTAAGGCATCGTTGAAAAGCTGATGACTCCAACAGTTCATGAAAAGGGTAGAAATCTGTTTCCTAGTTGTTATATAGACAACATTGCTTAAATACTTAATCTTTTATCGAATATTTACGGTTTTACGCAAGGTTTAACGTTCAAAACATGTGTGGAACTGGAAAAACCATAAAGTGTCCTTTATTCGTATTCAGCATCAATAGGTTGTCCTTAAATATTACTTCAAATTCCTTTTCACAACCCACAAAATACATTTTACTTGCAAAATCTTCACTTAATTTCTCTGATTAATAGAGATTTATAATTTTTTTCTGTAAAATTCTTTTTCACGTTTTTTTAGTCTCTATAAATGATCTCCAAACTGATCCAAAATATTCCCTTAACATTCAATCTATCTTTCACACCTAAAATTCCCTACTGAGTAGATTTTTTTTACCTTTTGAATATATTTTTTCTCCCTCAATTTCCCTCTTCGAGTCTATTATTATGACCTATTTTCTACGAACTAAAGTATTAAAATCTTATCCAGAACTTTATTCGAAGCAATGAAGCGAATCAAATCGAAAATGCATGAAATAATTGTATCGTCATGCATCACAATGAAGCAAAAATGCAAAATGTTTTGTGGCCAAGAGGAAAGTCACTAGTGGCTTTTTGAGGAATCTTAATGGTCTCAATCAATATTTAAATATCAATTTTCCAAGTAAAATTGGAAAATAATGAAAAAATAAATATCCTTGGCAAAACCTTTCAATAAAGTTCATTATATTCAAATATTTTTGGAATATTGAATAAAAATTAAGTAGCAAAAGTCACAAAATTAGTCACAAGCTGAATTTGAACGCCTAAAATTAAGAGGAAATACAATTGGGACTCCAACATGCCTTTAGAACTTAATTTGCTGCCCTCTGGCGGCAATGTGTGGAGAAAAAATTCAAATATTCGCGCGTGACTTTCCTTGTGGTTTTGGTATTCAAAATCAATCTTAGCAACTCTGCAATTTGTGGAAAAGCAGTGAAACCTGAAGAAAAATCATCACACAGCAAGTCAATTGCAACAATCTTGTGATAATAAATTAAATCCATTGAATCACTTTGGCGAAGAAGAACTAAATTATTTATTACCGCCAGAGATTTACATGAAAAATTTCATACTAGACAAATTGTCTGCAACAAGTCACGAAGTTTCCACAGAAACTTTCTTGTGCTCTTTTTTTTCTCTCTGTGTGGCACACGACATGTTGCATATTCACAGTGAAGATATGCAAATTCAGAGCCACTCGTCGATGGGAAAGGAAGTTTCAGGAAGCATTATGTATATGACATAAAATGGAATTCAATTTCTTTATTTTTTCTTGTGTAACATTCTATTCTCGAACAATTTTTATGGTTATTCAATGAGGGACGAAAGGAAAATTTCTGAAGAAAACAAACTTTTCTCCATGGCATCCTTCACAAAGGCGACTCCTCAGGAGCAAGTTGTGGAGTTTGTGATGTCCTTGCTCCCTTTGCCATCTTCGCAAATTAAACTCCTCGCTGCATTTTACCTCTTCGATGAAATTTCATAATTTTATTTACCTATTTTAGTCTCTCTCTTTCTCTCTCGTTTGTAAGTTGCGCCAGGGAATGAAATGCAGTTTTTTCTTTGATTCATTTATAAAATTCTTCTCTGGACAGTTTTGCAGTGTTGAGCAAACACTGGGTGTGCTGCTTCTGAGGAGCTCCTAGACACAGGCAGACAGAGGGAGGCGAACAGGAGGTTGAGACGCAACTAATTCAAACTCATAAATAAAGCAAAGTATAGTGCTTTATATATTTTATATAGGGATGCCTCTCTCGACACAAGTAACACTGCACGTTTATGCACTTGTGCTCTCAATACAATTTCATCTTCTCCTCGGCGTCCGCAGTTGCTTTTCCTCTGCGTAAAATATAAGATTTTTACACTTACATCTCGACCATTTTCTCTCTTTCTATTCAATTAACTTCTTACCAATCTTCTCTCTTTCTCCAATTACATTATTTGCTCTCAATTTTATCCACTTTCTGGCTTTCTGGTTTTTTCAACTTAAAAATATTCGCTGCTTTGCCTTTTTTGCTCTAAGTTTTTCTTCCATTTATTTTTTTTCTCTTTATTTCTTATTGTGTTTTCTCTCTTTACATTTCACATTTTAAATGTAAGTTATAGTTTAATTCATTACTCCTCTTTTTTTCTTTAAACTCACTATCCAATAATGATAATTTTTAAATATTGAACGGACTAGTAAGGTTATTTTTTTTCTTTATTTTTAATATTCACTCATAATATCAATTTTCACCTTATCTTTCCTTTAACATTTCTCTCTTCTTACTGTCTTTTTCTTCTCAACGATTTTTTTTCCTGATTTGCAAAACTGTTCAGATTTATTTTAATGTGACAGAAAAATTGCTTTGTAAAAGAAAATGCTTAAAAATTCTTGTATAATCTTGTTATGTTTTGCAGGATAAAATATATATTTCAATATATTTTTCATAGAATTTGGCATTCAACGTTCTTTTTGTCAGGATGTAAACTTTTAGCGAGGATTAATTGTTCATCCTAATGATTTCTCAACTGATAGTTTCAAAGGGGAAAAAGTCACTGATTGATTTTTGAGCAATCTTTAAATATAAATTTTCATTTTTAAATCATTAAAAAATTATTATTTTCCCTTGTAAAATTGCAAAATAATTAAAAATTGAATATTTTTGATTAAATATTTAAATAAATTCAATTACATTTAATGAATTCAGAATATTTAATCACAAAGTTAATGGTCTGAAATCGCAAGTGACTTTTCCCTTGGATATTTTAATATAATCCTAAATTAATTATTGCATTTCACAAATGAATGCTGTGCGCACTGAATGAAACTTTGTCAATTAAAGGTTTTCCCAAAGGTGAAATAAATATATGGAGCAATTCTCAGTCACACACAAAATGTTAAAAATGTGTTATATTGGTTTAACACACGCATTTGCTTGGCGATTCGTTGACGACACAGGTTAAACCATCTTGTATCGCCTGAATGTGTTATTTTAACACAACCTCTGATCGGAATGTGCAGAATATCCAAGAATATCTTGCCAAGATGAATCAATCTGCAATTGTGGCTCTAATTTTCAAGCATGAACATGAATTATGTTCTCAGTAAATTATATTTATCACGGATTTATTAATTATAAACTTGAATATTCATAGTTTTGACAAATTTCACAATTTTTCCTCTCTTACACATTATGGAATCGCTTAAAACACAAAACACTGTTTTAGCGAGCATAACAAGGGCTGTGTTTGACTGGAAATTGTTCCAATAATTTCAAAGTACAGAAGAACGAATTTTTGTGTATAAATTTGAGACATTCTCTTAGATTAAGAGTAAATAAAAGCAATGGAAGATCGAGAAATGCAAAAAAAAGTGTGTAAAGTAGAATTTATAGAACAGTTGAAGTTGTAAATGCAGAATCTGATTACTTTTTTTTATTCACAACGATTATGAAAATGTTTGCAATCAGAGTTATTTTTCAACACATCTTTTCCGCTTTTTATTCTCTCACTTTATTTACATTTTTCTGCACAAAATGTGTGCATTTCATGAATGTTTCACAAAACCAAAAAAAAAGAGAAATTCAGGCGCTCACAAACACCACATTTAGAATGAAAAGAAAAACACAGGTTAAATGCTGTGTAGTTTGTTGGTGAAGAGTTAATGGCTGCACTTTTCCCTCCTTTGTCCTCCTCTAGAGTTTGTAAAATAAGAAAAAAAAGTCTTCACAGTTAATTACAATATCTTCTTCAACATTAATCTTTTTACGTATATATTATAATGGTTATATATTATATGGTGAAGTTATGTATTATTTATGTGATTCATCTCGCTTCGGAGTTTAGTAGCGTACAAAGATAACACACTTAAACTGTGAATTCTTCCTAAACAGCTTCATTTCTTGCCACACATTTTCTTCTATTCTGGGGGAAAATTATCTTCTTCTTCGCAAATGAAAATATACCCAATATAAATTCTTTCTCTTTCTCTCTCTCTAAACCGATTTCTGCTTGTGGTTTTTTTTGCGCCTTTTATTCTCAAATCTACATCTTCATCTTTTTATGTTTGTGTTCAACTAGAATATTTTTTTTTATCAACAATTCTTCTTTATGCTCTCTAATTGTCAATCCCCACTTTAATATCTTGATGAATAGTAAAACACTATTTATTCTCATCCTTCTATGCTACACTGTTACAATTTACTTTGGATTTCTATCAAACTACTTTCTCTCTAATCATTTCTCTTTTCAAAATTTACACGTTCTTTTTTTGCACTTAAATAAATTAAAAATATACTTCATTGTACTTAATATCTAATTATGTAATCACATTTATATTATATATTCATGTAATAAATGAAAATATTTTGTTTGTCTAATGTTTTTTTTTATCATTTCTCAATTTTTTTCTCATCTTCTTCCTTCTTACACTTACACTGGGAAGGATCAAATTATCACAGTTTCTTCGTTTTGATTCATATTTTCCATGGGTTTGTGTGTGTGTTTTCAAGGTAGGCAAATTAACCATGAAAAAATGGAAATTAGAAAAGTTTCTCTTTTTTCTCATTTGGAATGACTATGGCGGAATTTTTCCTCCTCATTTGGCCGGAGGTGAAAGAAAAAGGTGATGAAGTGAATTTTTTTTCTTGCTGAAGTGTTGCTTGACTTTTCATTGTGATGCAAAAGTGTGTGTGAAATGCTTGTGTTTGAGAGGATGTTTTAGAAATGCAAATTGGCCCTTTTTATACAACTCAGAGAAGTTTTTTTCTGCTTTAAAACTGTGATAATTCGACAAATTATATTATAAATTCCTTTTTTAATATAAAAAATTGTATAAAATCCAGTCTTGCAAAGTAGAGTATTTTTTAACTATATACTTTTCTTCTCATCTAAATTACATTCATGTTTAATTACAATAGTTTATTCATATTTATATATTTACACCCTAAGGGTGAATAATTGTTTTTACCTCTGTTTGCTCGCGCTCTGTTGAATTTCCCCACGCGCTTTTTTTTATTTTACTTTCCACCTTCCAATGTTTTAAACATCCGCTTTGTCATCATCATTATTTGGTATGATCATTTCCTCAGAGTCCTCTATAATTTCAGGCTTGGCAACATTGCCATTGGACGCGGGAACAGATGTGACATTGGTGTTTGTCAGGGAATTGGATGTGTGCAGTGCTGAGCTGATATTTCCATTGCTGCATATTTTACTGTACAAATCCGGCGTGGCCGTTGTCACTTCCTCAAACTCCGTTCGCAATGCTGTGCATTTTAATAATTGCAAATCACTGGGCAGATACGTCAATATCCGATAGATCTGCTTCACCTCCTCCGCCGTCGTCCAAATCCCTGGTCTCTTGTTGTGGTACAATTTGGCATATGTGTAGATGTTCGCCGTGGAATCGTACTCCAGCTGCATCGCCAGTGAGGTCACAATGCAGAATATTGCCGCCTGTGCTCCGCCGTATCTGTCCAATGATTCATCAAATTATCAAAAAATCCAGATAAGCACAAGCCGCGAGTGTGCCAACTCGATTTAGTTAGAAGGAAAGAAAGTATGGAAATCTAGGAAAATCCAACTCCTGAAATTCAAACAGTTATAACTCTGGTTCTATGGCTTCGACAGAAAAGTCTTTGATCCCATTTTGGAAACGTCTCAATCTGGACTATCAAAATACTTAAGAAGTCATCTCAAATAAGCGCCTCTGGCAGTGGTCTGATGAACTTCTGTTGTTCTATATAGTCGTAGAGTTTGGCAAAACCTTTCCAACGAGCCCAAAACCATTAAAATCGGGTAAATAGAACCAACGTAAAAGTGTATTTAAAATAAAACTTTAAACCATCATAACTCCGGTTCTGTTGCATCCATAAAAAAGCTAAAACCTGTTTTTAGAGACGTCCTGACCTGGACAACAACATACTAAAATCTCATCAAAATACACAACAGATTTGCCGAGATACAGGCGTTGAAAGGTTTTTCAAAATGGCGGCTTTTGTTATGACGTCACAGACTCTTTGCGAGTGCAGCCTACTTAAGGACGTCGAGACACGTCTTTTGGTGAAGAGATTATCGAAATTGGTTGATAAACAACGGAGATACAGGCCGGTAAAGGTGTGAACTTTGACCTTTCATATCTCCGCCCCTAATGAATATGACCCCAAAAGTAACAACTTGTTGGCGAGATCTTGAGGTCAGTTATAACATACCAGAATTTGAGCCCGATTTATGCCATAGAGGCTGAACAATTGAGGAAAGTGTATTATTAGGGTATTCAAAATGGCGGACAGAGGGGTGGAAGGTTGGATTTGATAAAAAAAATCTTCATTACCACGGCATACCTTTGCCGCAAAGCACATGTCGATATCTCTTACCGTTTCGGCCCCACAAGCCCGTTTGTCACGACGGAACGAAAGACACGGAAAAAAGTGACCCCCCCCCCATATTTTCGTCATTTTAGGGTTACCTGAGTGGATTTTGCGAGGTTCGATTTTTTGCGTGATTACAGATATTAGTTGTGATGTAAATCTCAGCTATATAATATTGCTGCTCTGCACACATTATGATTAAAATTTTATCAATTTACCTATCTACAACAACAATCGGCCCATTTCTGTACTCCGAGCCTCTCTCGTGCACTTTGACGATGAAATCGAAAATGCCAGCGGGAGTCATCAGGTCCGGCCACGTGGGACAGTGGAGCATTTTGGTGTTGAGCTCATAATCATCTTGTATGGACTGCATTACAAATTCACGATTAATATAATCGTTGCAATTGTGCTCCGACAGGAATTTTATACGATAACTATCAGTTTCAATTGAATCATCGTCATTGGGCCAAAATTGTGGAAAATTCTGCAAAATACACAAGAAAAAAAGAAAGAAATATATTTCATGCTATTTCTGCAAATTTAGATTGATATTTCTGATGCACTTTTTCATTCACCCAGTATAAAACGTTTCCACAGAGAAGTCAATCATCTGAAGTGATTTGAATTGTTCTGAATATTGGATCATACAACAGGGAAGAATTCTCATAAATTAATTAACGTTGAAGCTGTCTGAAAATAGCTTTTTTCGCGCAACATTGACTGGCACAGATATTGCGAAAAATAAACCCCTCATAAAATCTATTTCTCTCGTTCAGCATTTTTGCGCTGAAAACTCAAACAACTGAATTTACGCTTCACCATTTGTGCCTAGAATAATATTAAACATTCTATTCTATCCTTCGCATTTTCTCTGGAATTGCTTTAATAAATACTAAAATTGTTCATTTGGCATCATTTGCAAAATAAACAACTTTTTGTGACTAAGGAGTCGTTGCAATTTTACAGATTTCGTAAAATTTACGAATCCAGGTTGCAACTTTACGCTTTTCATAGTTTATATTAGCGACCGCCAGACGGCGCTAGTGTAAAGTACGAATGGAAGACGAATGAAATGGAGATGCAAGGCGAAGTTAGGAGTTTATTTAATATGAATTTCTGCTGTCAAAATGCCATTTCTTTCCGGCTACTTTTGAGCTGTCATTTAAAGAGACTTTTATATGGTAGAATACTCTAACTTTCACCCAGTTTCTGCTCATCTTTTTCCACGTTAACGTAAGGAAATGTTCTTCAGTGTTAGTGAATCGTATTTTTCAGTATTCCTCACAAACTGATTTCAAGGAACTTCCAGGGTTTTTCGGCGATTACCGAAGTTTATTTTTAACGCAAAAAGCTACAAATGATTTGGAAAACCAATTAGTTTCCTTGGAAATGATGCCCAGAAACACATAACCTCAATTTGACGCACTGAAAAGTGCATAAATTGACAGATAAATTCAATCAATCTATTCTAATCAACCTATAAACATCATTACTGTCTATTTCCTCGGTTTTCTTGTGAATTTTCTGGCTTTTCTTGCTTTTCCGCGACGAAATATGAATTGACTTCAAGTGTCAATGTTTAAATCGTTTCATATCTCGTAGAAAATAAATTCCCCGCTTTCGTAAATGTTATAAATCACAATCTTGCAACGCAGTTTTATGAATTCATATTTTTGACAGCTTATTTAGAATGATATGAAAATAAAGTTGCAACGACTCTTAATTCAGGTATAACGTATCAAGAAAGCTTCGAGAGACTCTTGAAGAAGTAAAAATGTGTTCTTTAAAGTTTGTACACAAAATTACTGTTCGAAAAATGTAAAGTTTTTGCCCATTGATTAAAGCTAATGCACACTTAATATCCTGCTTAATATTACTTAAATCACAAAGCGCTCTTTCCCTTTCCGGTCTTCTTGTAATACAATTTCAGCTACACTTTGCTTCAACTCTCAAAGAGAATGGTTTGATGCCTGCGAGCGCCGGTAGACAAATTTGAGATATAAAACAGAAACTGAATATCATGAAACTTTAACAATGGCGTTTAAAATTTACCACAAACCCACTCTGATATCCGCTATGTATGCACATAGTGAATGAGCATTTTGGAGAACGTGCAATTACTCAACTCCTGGGCATTTGGCACGAGAAGAGCCCAAATTCATTGCTGCCACATAAAATATGTTATCAAATTGTCTCTGATATGCACAACTCGGACTTTTCATGCAGTTTCACAAAATGCACTGGGCAAAAAAGTATTCAATAATTCAATGATAGTTTATTATTTGTCGATGAAAAACAATTTCACTGGGCTTTAAAACCGGGACAATCGCGAAATGAATTTCCTGATTTTTATGTTTAAAGCAAAAAACAACCAGTGAATTCATTAGTGTTGATGAAAACTGATCCTGAAATTAGTAGTGCAATTAGTTATGCAGCTTTTGTATTCATCAAGAGTATTTTGTTATTAGCAAAATAATTTATTTTGCCAATGAATAGACGAAATATTAATTTCGTTAACGATTGAATCGAAAACTGGTAATAGTAAAAAAAATCTTATTTATTTAAAAAGCACAAATGGAGAAAATTGTCATGTTTTACGAATAATCATTACGCTGCACAATTTTTCTAAGAAAAATATCTCAGAAATTGCAGTCAAACGCATAAAACACCTTTTAGAAAATAATTTTAGATAATCAGAATTGTCCTAAAATGTTTTTTAGAATTTGAATGAATATTTCTCATATCTTTTACATCTTTTCACTTGAAAACTTTAAAGAAAAACTTTAAGTATAAAAAATTGATTTTAAAATTTTTCTTGGGATAAAATCGACTCGAAAACCATTCAAAATCATCTTTTCAGTGTTTCTATGAATTTTGCCATATTTTAGGCAAAAATTTCAATAAATACCAATAAAATCAACTGAAATATTTACAAAATAATAAATACAGAGCAATATTTGCACTTTAACGGACGATTTGAAGGCGTTTTGAAGTAAATTTGGCAAATTTCGCAGCTTTATCTGCGCTAAATTTTCAACTCGCTCTTACTTTTGATAGTTATCGAGGCACCCGTCGATTTGAACTTTAGCGACGAATAATTCATTTTTCCTCTCTGTTTCAGCGTCAGAATGTCAAACACGTGATAAATTCTGTCTGAAGAAGCGACTATTTCGAATTAATAGTCAACTTGCATTTGTTCAGCGCTCGATTTGACGTACAAATTGTGTTCAATTCAATTAATTGGCAAAAGGAGCATTAATTCACTTGAGGGAATGACAAAGGAAGACATCACTCTGCTATGCAAATTAACACTTACTGTATCATCTATTGACGAGAGTAATACTATCGTTTGTGCGTTGTGATCCCAGATCATTTGCCAGAAGTCCCGAATGGTTGACGTGAGCGGATGCTGTGTCACGATGAAGTCACGTAGCCGCCGGAATCCGTGGAACCACGTAGCATTAATGTAGTCACTCCCATCGACTCCCGGCTTCGGCGTCAAGTGCACACGACTGCCCTCCAGCGGCAGCAATCCACTCCTGTTCTTTCCGCCGTTGGCCGCCTTGATGGCGGATGCAATATTCACATCTTTCGGCTGGAAGGACGTTATTAACTGCAAGAAGGACACAAAGTCAGGAAGATTGTTAGGGTAAATATTTGAATGGCAGCTGAAAAGGGAAGATATTTCACAGCTTTCACAGTCTTTAATTGTTTCTCTCTATTCAGATTAAGTCAGATGCAAGGCAGAAAGACCTTAAAAAGATTACTCTAGACAGAGAGAGAAAGAGTGACTTTGTAATTGGAGAAAATCCGTCCCCATTCCCACTCAGAAGGTCCATTGTGTGCTTCGGGATATTATAATGCGAATTATATTTTTCAAGCGCATTATTAAAGCAACGCTCTTTGAATGAATTAAATCATCCCCTTTTGTAAACCACTCTAGGATAATACATTATCATTGAAAATTCCCCTTTATGTTCATGTTACACTTATTTTCAATGCATTATATTAGCCATTATATAATGTAAAGAACTATCTTGTTGCACAGGTACTTTATCAATTCACTCCTCACATATGTGAAAATACAGATGAAATGCGCAAATGTGTGCTGTTTGCAATTTGAATTTACTCCCTTTTCCACAATCACACAACAAAAGAGATGTGCTGAAGAGGCAAAATTTAATTCAACAATATATATTGCTTAACAATAATATTAAAGACAAGACAATAAGGCAATTTCTCAGAAGAAAAGCTTTATTTTCACAAACATTGAATTTCAACAAAAATAGAAACCTACTTTAAATCTACTCTTTAAGAAGATTTACTTCCAAGGAGAAAATCACATGCGACTTCAGACAAATAACTTTGTTTAAATTGTGAATATTCCATGCAATTTTCAATCATTTTATTTAATAATTTCTTTTTAAAGTGTTTAGAAGCGGAAATGCTTGAATAGTTGCAATAATTAAGCGTTTAAGAGTCACTTTCAAATTTTTTATACTATTTTTTTCTTCAATAAAATCACATTCCTTTTCTAGGTTATGTAACTAACTTTGAGCAAAATTTAGTGGCAAATAAATATCGGAAAAGACTATTTTATACACTGAAATTGGAAAAATTCATAATCTTTAGCATAGTGGAGAGTTCAAACGCTTCCAAATAATATGTCAACCACTATAAATCACAAGTTAAACCACAAACCCAAACTTGTCTTTGGGAAATACATTCGGAACTTCTACATGTCTATAAAACTTGATCAACTGATGATGAATCCGAGCTTTTTCTGCACGAAAAGCTTAATTTTCACGCTGAAATTTACTTCTCTCCTGGCCAGGATCACGCCAGAAAGTCAAAAAGTGTGATAATGCGTAAGAAATGAGAGAAAATTAAGAGAAAAATGCAATATTATTAGCGTCCCCCACGCCAACTGTGTTGCCCTCTGGCGGCCATATATGGAGAAAATAATCTAATATTCAATTTCAATTTGATTTATTTCAATATTTTGTAGGAAAGAATCAATTTTAACAAGTAAAAATCAATATTTAAATATTTGTCAAAAATCGTCAAGTGATTTTCCTCTTTTTCGCTTCAATTTCCATGAAAAAGTATTCATTCCACCCCATTTTGCTCCTCTCATTCCATAGACCTTGACAATGTAATTGCCTTATTGAATTTCAAAATATTGTATTCAGTGCACTCAATTATATACTAATAAATCTGATAAATCTTAAATTGAACTTTAATTTACTTTATATACATTATGTGAAGCCCTTTATGCTCTCAACATTCATGAGTTTGCAACAGTTTTGATCACAGCAGTGCATTGCATTCTCGTCTAGCTCATTCAAAATCTGTGTTACTGCATTAAATGTGCTAAACTTGCTGCTTTAACATCACTTCTATTCCCTCTCTCTCTCCATTCATAAACTATTCTGCATTTAAACACAAACCACCGATGAATTAGGTCAGTAATTCAATTCAAGAGCGAAGAACAGAGTTCTCGTGTGTGTGTACAATTAGACGCTATGCGCTGAGTGAGAAGTTGTAAGGAAGAAATCGTGTACATTTATAGAAAATGATGCTCATAAAGGAGAATTATTTGCTGCGGCCAAATAACGATCACTCACGCACCGATTGTTATTAACATTAAATAGAGTTTTATCGGTCGAATAGGGACATTAACTTCATATCTGGGAAATCAGAATAAAAAAAAAGTGCGCATTAAAGTGCAGACTCACCTTAAATTGCGACGCCTGATAATTGTAATCATTGAGTTGCTCCATGAGTTGGTCGGGTCTGATGTTCGTCTCACCGCTCATAATGGCCTCCACGAGGGCGTCATGAATGAAAATGTACTGCTCCTCCGTCTGCACGAGGAAGTTTCTCTGTCCACGAATGTGTCGCAAGAAGCTGAACACATTGAGCACACCTTTGTGCTCAATTTGCCGCAGCATCGCATCGAGGACAATGTATGTGCCGGTTCTGCCCACACCAGCGCTGCAGTGCACAACAATGGGGCCGGCGTCTTGTGGATTCGCCGCTGAGGACTTCTTCACGAAATTCAGCACCGGCAGCGGATGATCGGGCGTCCCGTGGTCAGGCCAATTCGTGTAGTGGTACTGATAGACAATTTTCTCAATGGATCCCTGCTTTTTTCGCTTCAACTGCTTAAGAGGGGATAGAAGAGAAGAAGAACGTGATAAGCGAACGCCAAGGATAGCTTATGGGTAACTTAACTCGAAATGTGACCAACACGATTTTACACCAAACATTTCAAACCTCCACAACTCGAGTTTTATGGCATTGTCTCCATTTGGACTATCAAAGTATCCAAAAATTTCTTTCAGAATAGCTTGACTTTGAAACAAAAATTTTGGAAATTTTATTATTGACAACAGCGCCTCTAGTAATGGTCAGACAATCTTCTATTGCTCTAAAAAGTTGTAGATTTTTGCTAAAACTTTCCAATGAGCCTCAAATTTTTAAAATGAGATCAATTGAACCGAAGTTATAATACATTCTAAATCAAAACTTTAAACATTAATAACTTCGGTTCTATTATTTCAATAAAAGGTTATAACCTATTTTTAGAGACGTCCTGGCCTGTACTACACTATACTAAAATTTAAAGAAAATACACAGTCTAGTTTTCAAGATAGCTGATTTTAAAGTTTTGAAAATCGTTTTTTCGACTTCAGCGCCCCAAGAGGTAGTTGTATCAAGTTATTATGTTCAAGTGAGAGATTGCATTTTACGATATCTTTCTAATGAGCTTTAAATTATTCAAATCGAATAATTAGAACCGGAGTTATGGTTATTTAAAGTTTAAAATTTGAGCCCTTTTATCTAAAGTCTGGAACGACATAGGTCCTTAAGTGCTGGTTCGTCGGAAAGGTCTTGAAGCCAGTTATAACATACTAGAATTTGGGCCCAATCCATGCTATAGGGGCTGAATAAATGAGGAAAGTGTGTTTTAGATGTATTCAAAATGGCGGACAGAGGGATGAGGGGATGGATTTCACATCACCAAAGTCTGTCAGTGAGAACCACACTTCGATATCTTTTACCGTTTAACCAACGGACGGAAACCAAAAAAGTTGACCCCCCTTTTTTTCTACAGATTTCGTCATATTTGCTCTCCCTGTTGTCATTTTAGTCGAATTTGCTATATTCGATTGTTTGCGCGATTACAGACAGAGCCGGGCTTCGTCCAGCTCAGAAGGGATAATAAAAAAAGGACGGAAGGGATAGAGAGAGAGATGAGAATCTCATACTCACTTTTAGATGCTTAATTTGAAATGTCCTAACAGTGTATGTCGCCATGACGTCCTCTTGAAGTAGCTTCACTTGTATCACGCCATACGTCTCTGTTCCATCCTTTGGCCAATACATATCACATTTGCGTCTACCACGCTCCACTAAATTTGTTATCATAACTATAATAGCTACTCTTTGTTCCCATATCATTCGCCAGAAGCAATCGAATGTACCAGGCAATGGCCCCTGGGTGCCGATGAAAGCCCTTGATTTGTGGTAGCCATCTATGAAGTTCGCATTGATATAATCGATCGACTTCTTTTGTCCCGGCGTCGGGTGCAAATGGACCCGACTGTGGTCATCTGAAATGCGACACACATCATAAGTCAGAAAGAAATACACACACACACACAATGCGGCAACTTTTTCCCTCCCTCGCAAGTCAATTGTCTCAGGGAAGAAAAAAAAAGAAAAACACAAGACGCAGGGCGAGTCATGAAGACTCGGAGCAGAGAGAAAGAGGGAAAATTAGTTCCGTGCAGAGAAAAGTTCGAGGGAAAACAATAAAGTGAAATTTACAGGAAGGTTCCATCAAGATGGAGGGATTTGGATGATAGAGTGTGCAAGTTCTGGGGGGAGTGAATAGAACCCACTTACAGGCTATAATATTTAAGTAGCGATTTTTCCCTTTATTCTCCGGATGCTGTGAATGTTCAGATGGAAAGTCGTCCATTATCGATTCATTCTGAATCGACTCATACTCCTTGCTGAATCCAATGTCTCCGTCAGCGTGCAACTCCGCCACATGCTTGGCAAACTCATTCACCGGCACCACAGTCCTCACCTCGCCACCCACCTCAACCGGCGCCTCCCAGTCGATTAAAAGCGCCGTCTGTCCCTGACATGGAGGATCATCCAGATAGTAGTATGCGGCGTGGAAGCATTTTCTAAAACGAGTAATCCTGATTGTTTTAAAGTGGATTAGTACGCAGGGCAGCACATTAGGCATCTCCCAATGGCAAGCATCTCTCCTTCTGTTTTCTACTCCTTCGCCTCCTCATCCCCAAAAGCCTGGGAATCGCGCGTCCTTCCACTTACGTAAACCAATTTGTTATTTCAACACTCTTTCGTCTTGACATTATTTACGCATTTTATCCCACGAGTGCGACGGGTGAAAAGAAATCATTGGACAAATACTTTATTGCGTAAATTGTAACTTTTTCTCCTCTTTCTGTCTTCTCACACTCTATTGGCATTCCCTATTGGCAAAAAGGAAAGTTTTCACACCCGCCACGCGATGTCACAAAAGTTTTCTCTCTGTCGCGCGCGCGATTGTCGTTTTAATGCTTGGAAACAGCAAAATTTTAATTCAACACACTCCATTGGTCACCACGTAGCAAACTAATTAGACATGACAACCATAGTTAAGCACATTTATGCTTTAAATGTTCCCAAAAAAAGCCCCAAAAGAAAGCCTGTCGAGAGCGACAAAGACGGAACAAAATTAAATTAGTTTGTGTATCTTATCGCAAGTCTGATAAGTGTTCCTTCTTCTTTTTTTTACCCATATAACATAACGATAAACAACCAGCAGACAGATTAATTTTCCCTCAACAATTCAAATAATGATAAATTGAAAGATTGCAGTTGGGAGAAAATACAACAAAAACTACACATGCGCTCAATTTAATTTTCGGTTCTTCTTGTAATATCAAAAAGTTTAATGCTTCGTGGAATTTTCAATTACTCCGCCTCATTAGATTTTACAATAAAGTGCAGTGCAATTAATTGAGGGAAGCAGAGAATGCATGAACCATTCAAAAATACCTACTTTTTAATGAAAAAATAGTGAGTTCAACGCGTTGCTTCGCTCACGGAGACGAGAGCTGGAAGTATGGCAAACTCGATTTGAGGCAAAAGCCTGTTCGTCCCCGTGAACCGTGAATTCGGCAGAATTCTAACTAATTCTATCTAATTGCCGAGATGCAGACATTCAAACTTAAATCAATATGGCGGTAATTGTGGATGTAGCCTACTAAAGGACGTCGAGACATGTCTTTTAGTGAAGAGATGATTGAAATCGGTCGATAAACAGTGGAGATAAGGGTCGGTAAAGGTGTAAACTTTAACCCCCTATATCTCTGCTCCTATAATATCAATCCTCATAATTAATGATTCGTTGGAAAGGACTTGATCTCTGCTACAATTTACTAAAATTTAAAGAAAATGCATCGCCTTGTCTTCAAGTTATATCGCTTTAAATTTTAGAAAACCGTTTTTGCGATATTAGCGCCCCAAGCGGTGTTCAAAGTCAAAATTATGGGTGGTTGGTCAACGCGCTTGACTCCCAATGCGACAGTCATGAGTTCAAATCCCACCGATTGCACAAATTTGAACACAACAGAGTGCAAAAAAGTCTTTCTATGGCAAAAAGCAGCGCTCATATGGTCGTTGCTGTTGAATGTTCCAGCTGAAACATACACTTCACTGGAATTGTCTTGCGCTCTGTCCCTGTATATAAGATGAGGTTTAGAATCACTTATGGTTGGTCGACAAACTGACAATCTGCCACCGTAAAAACAATACTTGTCAATGGAAGACAATCCAATCCGCTCATGAATCAGCTCTGAAACTACATATCAATATCTTGAACTACGGACAGACGGACGGACAAAGCACGCATATTCATCAAATCCCTTCTTAATACGCCTTTCTGCCCACTTTTTAGTCGATTTTGACGAAGTTAAGGTTGTTGAGTGATTACAAATTACATTGCTGTTCTCCAAGCACAGAAAACTGCCAAAATATTTGAGCGATATAAGAATTCCAGTTAACTGATAAGTGAGAAAGTAATTGGACATGGCTGCGATTCTAATAAATTACAACACTGTGTTTGAAATTGCTATAAATTACGAGCTTTTCCCATGGCTACCCTCGATGTCGCGCACTCTAGGAATATAACATTCTCTACATACATATTTTTCTGCCTCTCCTCTTGTTAATACTACACAAGAATGCCATTTAGATATGCTCTATGGCCAATGTTAAATGTGTAAATAGTGAATTTACCTCCACAGCACGAGAGCAACGACACTCAGAAAGAATATGAAGCAGCAAAAAACTATTACAATTGTGATAACGAAATTGTAATTGTTGGCAACTTGTCTCGGCAGTGGTTGCATTTTCTCGCAGCCCGGTTGCAAGTGGATCTGTTCGCGGGGGTGAGAGAGAGAGAGAGATAAATGAAATCAGTGGGTGAATTCATGCAAGAAACATGAGACAATCTCTTTGGGGTTTTAAACTCACCCTTTTGGGATCGGAAAATGCTCCTGGAATGATGTTTCTTGGATTTATTGCACTCACAGAGGCAGCTCGCACTTTGATCTCATAGACTGTGTTTGTGGGTAAATTTGGCAGCTTCATCTGCGAAAGAAAAGAAAGAAAAGAGCGACAAATGGACACATATGAGTTGAGGATTGTGTTGTAATTCAATTAGTGGTCAACTTTTAACTCTGTTCTTTCTACGGTGGAATTCACCGCAGTGATTTGAGAGCGAAAAACCTACCGATGATTCAGTTATTTTTGCCGTTGAATTGATGGAGAACTCCTGAAAATCAGGATCATCCTCCGCCCTGTAGCTAATGATGTACCAATCAATTGAATGATGGTACTCCAGTGGTCGCTTCCAGTGGAAAGATATCACGTCTTGTGCCAGACACGTGAGATTCACAACTTCCGGTGGACTGGGTCCACTAATATCCGTTCTCTGCGTCACAATATCCGATCTATTTCCTATGTGCTTCCATGTTAGTGCCTGAACATATATTTTATACTCCGTGAATGGCTCTGGAAATTGATTTGATTAACATTTTCAGTTTCATCTGCGACTAAGCAATCCCACCACCAACTCTTGCCACCCCGCCCAAAACAGAAGCGACAGAGAGTTGAGATTGGCCGGTGAACACACGGTGAACTTACTCAAATTGGGCAGAATATATTGTATGTAGGAACTCGTGGAGGAGTCCACCCTCAAGATTGGGCCTGAGAATGTCTGATTGGAGTGCTCATAGTAGACCTGGTAGCCCGTAATGGCGCCATTTGTGTGCTCCGGAATACGCCAGGACAATTTTATCGTCGTCGAAGTGACCTCCAGCACCGTCAAATTGAGTGGTTTGCTTGGAACTGGACAATTAACAGAAATACCCTCATTAATTTCTCCATCCATCCAAAATCAACCTCTTACACAGTGTGAATGGCATCAAATTCTCTCACTGTGGTGGACGCATAAAGAGTGGTTGAGGATCTCAACTCTCAACACCATTAGATTAATAGTCTTGTGAAAAACCCTCACTTTGGCGATTGTCGGGCGAAAAGAGTTGCAAGAGAGTGGAAAGCATGTGAATCATCCACTCCATATGTATTGTCTTATTTTATCCACTCCGAAATATCATTTACATAGAAAACGAAATTCCTCCACATGTGTTTGTTGGCTTCTTGAGTGCGCACAGGCCAATATGTACACACGGACTTGCCCATGTGCGATAAGGAAATTTTTATGTATCTCCGCGCGCAGTTTTTGCGCGAGGGAAAAAGTTGATGAAAACTTTTCCTCAATCTTCCCGCGCGCGCGATAAATTACATCTTTTTTTCTTGTGACCACACACACTTTAAATATTTACCAAAAACATCATCATCGTCTGTGGTGTGTGTTGGAATGATTGTTGTTGTTTCCACCTCGTCATCAGTGAGTGTGGTGTCCGTTGTTGTTGGAATTGATGTGGAAATCACACTATTAGCAACTATCAACACAATAAAAATGCGTGCAATAAAAATCACACCGATAGCTCTCATTTTACGATGTGCTTCTCTCCTCAGACACTCCACTGATCTCTCTCTCCACTATTTCCTCTTCACAAACTCCACTAAATGCTATGCAGCAAGATTTGTGTGCTGTTTATGTGTGGTGAGTGAATTAACGATGGCGCTATGAGAATTCCTGTATATCATAAGAAAGTTGTTGGTGACTTTTCCATTAGTCAAATCCATAACTTTTGCATGATAATAAGCACTATTGAACTCTTATTATCAGCATTAAGGATATTGGTTTGCAGTGTTAATGCAGCGGCATGTGGAAAAACTATTCATAAAGCGATAGAGGAATTGATTATCCTTATTGAATTTAGTTTCTGTCGAAGCCAAGGAGGAGATAATATAGTCTGAAGTGGTGTACTGATCTGTACTGTGATCTAGAAAGCTTTCAAAAGGAATTTTTAAAGATATTTTAACAATATTTTTAGGTTATGTTCGGAAAAAATACCCAAAAACGCGGTTTCAAACGGATTCTTACAAAAATATAGGATAGAAACTCAAGATATTCATTTTCATTTAGGAATAAATGTGGAAACTGACTACAAATTAATGGGTCTGGAAGTGTTCAATGGTCAACACGTTTGACTCTTGATGTTACAGTCGTGTGTTTGAATCCCACCGACTACAAATATTCGAACACAGCAGACTGCAAAAATTAAGTCTTTCAATGGCAAATTAGAGCAGCTCAAGCGGTTGCTGTTGAATTTTCCAGCTGAAACATACGCTTCACTGAAATTGTCTTGCGCTCTGTTCCTGTGTATATAAAGGTGGGCGTTAGAACCACTTATGGTTGGTTGGCAAGCTGACAATCTGCTACCGTAAAACAAAAAATTGTCTAGATATATCCTTTAATGGAGAAGGCTTTGTCTCGCAATGAGGTGTTATGCTCTCCTAAGTAAGTGATGTACAGATTTAAGGCATATTATCTCCCCCTTTGGTTGAAGCTTAGAATACCAACACTTTAGGAAATATAAAGACGCATAATTATAGGAAATGTGACCACAAATATATACGAAAAATTATGCAAAAGTGATCACAACTTAAATTGTCTGCATTTGCAAGAGACTTTCAGGACATTTTCATCATGTGTGGCACTACAATTATCATCAAATTTAATTTAAGCATCCTTTTAAACACGATTCTATTCTCCTTATGAACCGAAAAAATGTTCCGAGATGATTTGGAACAGTTTTACTAAATTATTATACGATTTTTTTTATTGATTTATAATAAAACTCCGACAGATGTTTACAGTATGAATACGCGGTAAATTTCTCTCATTTTTCTACGTGCCGGCAGTGATGCTGTGTGCATATTTATTCAGACCCCAGTGAAACTTATGCCCTATTCGGGAGCATTTCGCCATTCTGGCAATCTCTCTCGCTTTCAGAGGCTCTCTGGCGAATATCTAAACTTGGGCAGGGGCGCAAAAAAGCCCAAAAACTTTTTAATAAAGCTTGTGGAAGAATTTTTATCCGCACATCCCAACCACAATTCTCCGGGTCACAATATTGATTTTGTGTGGCAATGGGGAAGAGCCATTCTCATCTTCTCTCCACCGCTATTCTGTATAATTCAATTTTATTTGCAAATAAGCCTGCGTTGTCCCCACATCCCCAGATTCTCTTCTCGCCACTCCACATATTTTGCTTGCATTTCATTCAATTCAATGGGTGCTTGCTGAATAATTGGATACATCCCGAAATGAACGAATTGTTTCAATTCGTGAGGGTTTTTTCAATCAAACATTTTTTCGGCCCCTACAATTTTTGTGGGGCCTCACGAGTCATCCATCTCTCTCTCTCCCTCTCTCGGTCGTCCTCACGCCGCGAGAGGGACTCCAAGTCACGCGCGCGTCCTGGAGCCGAAATTTAAATTGACACTCAGATTAATTGCGATTGCAGGAGTGAAAAAGATCATTTTGATAATTAATGACTGCCACAGCAGTTGGGTGGTTCGTCAGACGAAAACCCCATCGAGGGTTGCACACCACGTCAAATCCCCACAGTTTTAATAGCCGCGCTGCTAATTGGTTCAGTGTGTAATTCGTTCATTTACCAAATTCGATATTATTCCTGCAATGGGCGATGCGCGAGCGGGACAGGGCGACGCACCGCCCGGCTGTGCGAGTGCGACAGATAGCCCAATGGCAGGCACAATTGAGCGAATGTGCGAGAGAGGGCGAGAGAGACACAGATTCAACACAACGCAAACGCAATGGCGACATGAAGAAAAATCTCTGAGATCGGCATTTTTCCGGAATTAGCACTCCCTCGGGCGGTGAAAATGGGGTGAAATGCCGCAAAAAGGACACCACCGGGTCACTGTGGATGCACACATGAGGCGGTCACGGTAAATATTCACTGTTGATTGTCCACAGCGAGCCATAAAGGAAATCAATACGAAGAGGGAGAACAAGAACACAAAGCCTCCGGATTTTCACTGCAAACCAGAGCAAATGCTGCTCACCGACTCAATGGAATCACCTTATAAACTATATGTGTATCATATTCGCGTGCTATCGAGGTGGTATTCTTGTGTGAATTCACTAAAAATCACCCAAAACAAGGCGGAAAATAGGATTTCATTGATTGATTCAGCACACTATCTCAAGCCTCCCGAGAATCGACTGAAGTTGCTCGCGAATCGCCGACAGAAAATACAGCGAGTGAGCGAGATGAATAGTCATGCTGATGCTCATCTGCTTGTCTCGCTCGTTTGCTTTCGCCCAAGAGCAAAATGGCTTTTGAAAGCTCCATCATAGTCTCATAAATTGTCGGCGAAAAGCTTAATTAATGAAATTCCTTCAAAATTAATTATCTCAACTGGGATTTCATTTATATTGAGCCGAACTCCTCCACAGCGAAGTGAGGATGAGGTGTAGAAAAATGCACGAGGCAAGGTAATTCCCTACACGACGCTCAATTCGCCAACAATCGCCGAGTGGTCAACAAGGGCAGCCCAGTCCTTGATTGATGTACTTCTTGATGAAGCAAGAAGCTATTGAATTTCGATAAATTACATGTTGAGGCATGTGTTTTTTTTTCTGAACTCATTGTGAATTCATCTTGCATCAGAATATTGGATTCTTTTATTTGTCATGTCCTTGTAATATAGAAAGAAAGGAGGAATCATTACTCTTCATCACGTCTGAAAAAATATGTGTTGTGTATGAAACTTCATCATTTTAGAAAGAATTTGTGAAATTTTTTAGACATCGAAGATTACTCAAGTGCGGAATGGACGAATTATTTTACCCGTAATAAATATATAGAATATATGTATTAATCGCTCATAAGAAAATGCTTTTGGGTGAGTAGTTTGCGTCCACCGACGCCTGAATTCAGCTTCTTGGTAAAATTGTGGCATTTAAAAAGGCCAAAACAGGAAAATATGTGAAAAAGTTTGCCGCGAGCTGGATTCGAACTTATGAAAGCAGATTTGCGAAGGAAGAGGACGTGAAAATGCGATATTAGCGGCTTTCCAAACGAGTATTGTGGAAAAAGGGCAGAAAATAACATTTTAGGCTTTAAAACGAGTTTCTGTGAGAAGTTTCTAGCTCGTGAATAGACATTAAAAGATTAAAGAGAATGTTTAAGGGAAAAAAACTTTCTCTCTTTCTCAAAAAAAGCAATTCCGACCGTCAGATAGAGTTATGAGAGATAATTCTTCAAGAGAAAATCATACTTAGTGAAGAAAAGTACTCGAAAAAGGAAAGAGAAGTGAAAAAGAGTTGTGAAAAAAAGCACAATTGAAGGAGAATCGAACCCGAGACATCACGATTTCAAGTCTACAAGTCTTTCAGTCTAGATGATTTCATAAACATAAGTTTGAATTAAGAATGGATTGAATGAAAACCACTTTTCTCCAACTCAAGCAACTCTCGAACATCTTGCAATATAATCATCGTGATGAAAATACAGTGTTATCATTGCCAGATTATTATAAGTCCAATAAATACTAATTGAGTAATTCAGTAGTGTGGAAAAGTTGCTGCACTTCGTTTCCTCTTCGCCTTAAGTCCCTAAACTTGAGATTACCAAAAGGTGTCGTCGCATTATTTGCAGAATCACGCTACTTGCCTCCAAATAGGAGAAGGTAATAAACTTTTATTTATGAACTGAGCACGTAACTCGTAAACAACATGTCAGTTTCACCTCTCGTTGGTACTTTGAAACAACTAATTAATCCAAATCCAGGTGTTCATTGTTCAATAATTTAACATTAAAACTCAATACAATCCTGAAGCCACAGAAGAATTTCATCACACAATTTTCCCAAGTGCAACGAGTGCAGTTATTGATGCGCATTTTCAATGTGAAGAGGTTGGATTAAAGCATAATTCTGCTATTATATTTTCCCCATCAAGTGTAAATATATCGAGTTCACATTTAATTATTAAATCAATACTTTCATTCCAATATCCGTATTTATGATAATAACTCAGTCAAACTTTTCCATAAAACAAACTGAATTGCTTGCAAGGTTAAACCACAATCATCTTCAATTAACCTCCAAAATCAATTCAATACTGATTGAAGTGTCTACATTTCCATTAAACAACACAATTTATGTCCATTGATTTTTATATCACAAGCATGTAAATAGATATGAACGTAGAAACTAAACGCCATGAAAATGCAATTATTGTGAGGAAAACAAGATTATAAATCGACGAGTTTCTCGAAAACTATCAGAGAATCTTGATTTCTTCTACAACGTCTGAAGAATATAAAACTAAAGTTGAACGGCACAAAAGGTAAGAAATCATATTTATCCTTGGATTTATCTTATAATCTGTGTGTAGAAAATTAGTAGAAAACTTGAGTTTCGATAGTTTTCGCTGCACTTTTCGTTCTTTACGGTATTGAAAGGCAATTTTTGAGAGAATCAAAGGAGAAATATTAAATCTACTGAAAGGTGAAAGCAATATTTTTAGATTCTCTATTAATTTTGTCATATTTTAGTCAAAAATTCCAATAAATACCAATAAAATCAACTGAAATATTTACAATATAATTATAACAGATCAATATTTGCACTTTAACGAACGATTGGAAGGTGTTTTGAAGTAAATTTGGTTAATTAATGCAAAATTTTCAACTCGCGTAAAACGATGATTTTGACTTTTATTCGTTTTCGATTCACTCATCGAATTAATTCAGAGATTCACATAAATTGATATTTTTCCTGTGCTTTTATTACTTTTTTTTTTAGCTATTTTGCATCCTTAAATACACTTTCAATCAATTACATTCATGGACATTTGTTGGGCATAATTTTATATGGTGAAAATATCAAAAATGAAAATAAATGTTAGTGAATACTTCGAAATTCTGGATAAAATCAATGAATTTCCATGAAAAATCAGTCAAATTGTAAATTCTATTTGAAAAAGCACTTCACACAGTCATTATTCGCAGAAAAATCTCAAAATCCAATAAACTCTAAACGGAATTTACAGGAAAATGCTTTTTACGAACTGTTCAGGAAATATGAACAAAGTAATTTAAAAATTAATAATAATTATATCACCGGAAATTTATAGAAAATAATTGTAATTTACTCTACTGAAATAATGTCGATTTTGCCTTTTTCTTGTCGAAATATTGTGCATCATTTTCACGCGAGTAATTATAAGGCAAATCTTTAAGGAAGTTTCAACTCTTGTTTTGCTAATTGTAATTCTTTATAGAAATAGAGAAGCTCTTTCACAAGTCTGACTTTATTTTTCTCATGCGTCTTAGGCTCGGGTTGGAAATGTTTGAAATTCAGTGGATATTTGCTCATGAATGTATTCATAATTTTGAGAGAGAAGGGATTATGATTCCTTACCTCCTTCGTCCGTCATGACGAGGACTGTGGTGGCTGGACCAGGGCCTTCAGGGTTGAAGACTTGTATGGAGACCAGATATTGCGTGTAAGTGTCCAAATCGTGAATTTCATGGCTCTGAATGCGGATGGAAAGCGTGCGTGAAAAAGGGGAGAAAAAAAGAAGGGAGATTAGATATTGTTATATACATTTAAGGTATTATAGTTAATTTTGAGGGGTTGTTTCATTATATTCAAGCTCCGGGGGTGCTTTTCCTGTTGGGACAATGACATGGCATAAATAAATTGATTCATACCTCCACACTGCTGTCCCGGATGTATATTTCCTTGATATCGTCGGTATTTTTATCGCGAGGGCGATATGTAATTCTATATCCTAAAAATTCGCCCAAAATTGTGTCGGCCGGCGGAGGTTTCCAGGAAATGTATATTGAGGTGGCCGATGTATTGTGGGCTATTGTTGCAACAGGTTTTCCAGTCGGAACTGTGTTACATGGGTTGGAGAAATTAACATAAATAGTGAATTTATCATTAAATTTTGTCGAAATTTCGGATGGAAAAACATGGAGAAAAATTACCCTTGCGCAAATTTCCCAGGTTGGTGTGCAACACTTAAAATAGGGAATTTTGTGCTAAATCACTGTCTGTATTTGGTGTTTTATCCTGAGGCTATATTTGTCTGTACACACACATTAAAAAGGTGGGTGAGAGGCAAAAAGCACTCGCGAGCTGTGATTTATGTTAATTTATTGTTCTCAATTCCATTGCAACACGAACCAGGAGTCTTATGTGTCTCTACCCCACTTTCAGTGATTCGCTAAATTCTCATTGGATAGCTTTTTAGTGCGAGTTTTATGTGGTGGCGGTCCCAAGTGCTTGTGATATGTACAGTGGTTATCAAGGGGTTGCTTATGTTGGAGATGCAGTGTCACTTGGTCAGAGATGCAGAGATTCAGTTGTAATTATTTACAAAAATTCGTAGAATAAGTAGAATAATCTAACCGAAAAAACACATGAATTTATTGCAGTTATTTCAGGAATAATTTAATAATTGAATAAAGAATAACACAATTTTTCCCTCTTTTTAACTTATCAGTCTAATCTATGTTATTTTTACGTCTCAAAACGTTAAAAAAACACTTAAAAATCTTAGAATTCAGAATGCAAGAGCTGAATCTTAATGGTGAAAACACAGCATTTGTAATTTGTAATTTGTCCGCGATCATCTCTTTCTTCCCCACGCGTTTCGTGTATTTTCCTTCCTACTCGCACAGTGGCTGTCTCGACATGTCAGAGTCGGACGCTGACAGAGTAGGAAGGAAAATACACGAAACGCGAGGGGAAGAAAGAGATGATCGCGGACAAATTACAAATTACAAATGCTGTGTTTTCACCATAAATATTCCAGAATTTTTACGTGACAAATTAAATGATTAGGAAATTTCTAACGGAAATTGTGAGGTTATGAATCTCAAACGTGCAAATTTGTAAATATTTGAGGCTTAATTAAGGCTTAATAAGCAAATAGACATTTTTCAAGGCTGAAGTGACATTTTTAAGGTTATGTTTAGGCTTTTAAGCTGATATTTATTGTAATATAATCAATCTAAAATTTTTCCAACATAAATTCTTAAATTTGTACCAAGAAAACAAGAAAAACTCCCAACTTAAACACAGAATAGATGATTTTGAGGGTTATTTCACCGTCAGAATCTGCTTTAAATCACTTACATAACCTAGAATTACAATAAAATACGATTTTTCTACGCGAAATAATTAAGAAA